TTATAAAAGATTTGTATTCAGTGAATTTTTTAAATAAATAAATGCTATCTTGAGTCATTAACTATTATAATTATGGCCGTAGAGGATATTTTCGAATGAATTGAAGGGCGAACAGTTGAGTGTTTTTCGTGTTAAGCCAACACATCAAAGTTATGATCATGGTAACTGTTTTTAACATTTCATTTTTTAGTTAGTCCTTCCTGATTTTGTTTTGATAAGCTTTTGCAGCTTTGCAAACTTTCTAGTGCAGCTTCGTAACCAGCACGGCTTGCTTCATGACACCATGTAAACGAAGACGTCCCTTAAGGCGAGGAGCAAGGACAGAGGGCTGTATTCGCAGGCTGGGATATCAGGCCAAATTTGGTCAAAGCTAGCTCGTTAAGAAAAATAGGCCCTGGGATTTGAGCCAATTACACTAGAAACGTAAAAAAAAAAAAGAATGAATATTAATTATAAATAAATGAATTGAAATGCTTGTGTACCATGTTGACAATTGGCATTTTAAAGAGTTCAAGTCACTGTCCAATTCTTCTTCAAGGCATATGTTTTTCATAATTGAGGCAGAGCATTCCTGCCACGATTGCTACTGTTGGACACATTTCAGCTGACATTTTCCTCATTCACATTTTGTTGATTTTGCCCTTCTAGGTTTTGTTCATCCTTTACTGTGTTCACTCTATCCACAGCATTAGGTACTCCAGAAAATCGCCTCTGACTGGAAAGCCTAGTTAAGATTACGCGAGCAGCCTTATTCTGTAATTTTACAGTTTCAGAAACTAAAAGAGCATCATCATAATCTCTGATTAGTTCAACACAATTGCTGTTGTTAGTGCTTACAGGTTTTCTTCACTCACATCTTGTTGAGTTTGTTCATTTTGACTTCGTTCAGTCTTTACTCTGTCGACTCTACCTGCATTGTTTTCCGTTCTGAACAATAACTCGATAAACGCGACCCTAAACTGCTTCATTCTTAACACGTAAATAACTGGGTTAAGCAACGAGTTTAAGAAACTTGACGAAAGAGAGAGGAAGGCAAACAGAAAAATTATCTCATCAGTTACATGACCAGCAAACCTTGATACAACAATGTTAGCAACGTTTCCGGGTATAAAACACAATAATAATGCAGCAAGGATTATGGACGTCAGTTTAACAGCCTTCTAGTTTTTCTCAAATTCTTTCCTTGCCTCTGGAGTGGTTTGCTGAGCAGCAAGTTGTTTTTCGTGTCGACGAGTTTCAAAGCAAACTGTGACATGGCAGAAAAAGATTACCGCAAGAGATACACTCATGGAAATTGTTGTACCCCGCAAAACCATAGTCTTGCTCATGAGAAACAGAGGCACTGTCTGAAATACGGATAGGAACCACGCCAATGCACTAGCAACAAGCAAGCGACCGTCGGTGACCAGGGTAACGTAATAGAAAGGGTGCTTCATGGCTATGTACCGCTCCCCGCTTAACAAAACCAAGTGGAAAAGCGAGGAAACAACCACGACCATATTAGCATATCTAAGAACTTGCAGAATACAATATCCACGAGGCTCGTTAAGTAACAACATGATTAACACAGCGGCGAAGGTAGGTTGAACTAGAATCCCGACTGTAAAGTCTGTCAAAGCCAGGAAAGCAAGTAAAATGTTGGACTTGTGTGCTCTTAGTCGTGATTTTGCCTTAACAGAGATCATCACCAGCGCGTTCAAAACTGCGGTGATTGGAAAGGTGATGATGTTAAAGATGATGAGGAAGATCAGAAAAGCTACACCCCAGGAAGAAGGGTGTTGTAATCTTTTGCCGAACATAAGGTCAGCCTCGCAACCAGCAGGGCGTGTGGTAGAACTAAAATTCATGGCTTCTCGTCTTACGATATCGGACTGTCCGCTGCTGAATGAACTCGTTCTGGGTCTTAAAAGATTGGGCGGAAAACTGTGTGCTTGTCTTTGCAAACATCTGCCATCCTTATTTTCTTACCTTTTGTTCATATTTTTGTATACGGTGATCTTTTAATGTGCATTTTCGCATTTCTTTGGTTTAATTTTCCGCCGGTAATTAAGTTTGGATAATCTTTTCATTTTCTAAATATCCGTAAAAGCCGTCAGAGGTAACGGGTTGCATAATATGCGCCAAGATAACAGGGAATCTGGGGCAATTCTAAAACCAGGCACAATTAGGACGAGCGTAGGATGAAAGAGATGATGTCTGTATGCATGCATGTATGGAAGACGTCTTTTTCCGACGTGGAAAACAAGAATAAAAATTGTCCGAAAATCGACGAAAATGAAGCTATTTTTATTAATTTACAGTTTGTTCTACGTGCTCGTCACTATCAAATGAAGTCGTTAACAGCTCTCGTACAAAAACAATTAGACTCCACTTGCGAATAAATACTAGGTTAATCAGTTTTTCCCCGAGTAAATGTTTTCATTTGCATCAAGCAACGAAAGAAAATGGAATCCGCCTCGATTCAATAGCAAGCATGAAAACAGCGACCACTGTGATAACGACAATTTGGATGATGTATCAGTGATAAATTATCCTGTCTATTATTATTATTATTATTATTATTATTATTATTATTATTATTATTATTATTATTTTAAATACTTTAGAAAAGGAAAACGTTGTTCTTTTGAGGCTGCAATACATTCTCTACATCTAGTTCAAAATATGTCCGAGAAAAAAGGCCTATATTTTATAGATTGCGCAGAAAAAAGTCATCATTTGATCTTCCGATAGATCAAACTTAATCATTTGTTTATCATCTAAAAGAGCCTCACATTCTACTTGAATTGCTAATAAATCTTTAGATAACGTGTTAATGTTATAACACTTAAGGGCATGGGGTGGGGATTTGTCTTTGTTGGCCCTGGGGTAGGGCATTTGATTGATCTTGTTCTCCCAGGGGAGGGGATATTTGAATCTTTCTTTCCGACTCGGACGAAAAAGACTGAGACCAAACATATGTTTCCCGCTTCCATGTTTCCACGCTTCACGCATGCGCCGTACGGTTTGAAAAGATCAGGAAGTCATGGAGGCCAATGAGAACAAGCGAAGGCTGAGTGTATTTCACTGTTTTGTCTTCAAATTTCGTTTGATTTAGCGTGTTTTTGATCAATTGAACCTCTAAAAATACTGTGGTATCAAAGTAAACGGAAGTAAAGAGAAACCAAGTCGATTTTTGCAAGTACAAGTGATTAGTGTATGGCTCATTCGCTACAATCACTGTAAACTTATAAAACGGACTTTCTTTGTACCCTTTACTAAGAACGGTATACTTAAACTTACAAAATGTGGACTTTCTCGTAAAGGTTTATGTATTGTACGCAGTGTAACACGGATTATGGTTAAAACGTATAATTGCAGCTGTAACAGGAACATGTCTCTTTGGTGATGCAGCAACGTTCATAAAAGATTGCAGAGTTTTATTTGGAGATATTTTTATTGCGCCTTTCTTAGGTTCTCCCTTGGGATTGACAGCAATGTGCAGCCTGTGGTGGGGAAATTTGGTTGCATTTGACTGGAATGATTTGCCCGTGGGCAGGGAATTTGATTGCAAATTTTTGAAAAAAGGTCAAATCCCCACCCAAAAACACAGGTTCGCTAAAGAGTAACAGAACGGAATAAGAAGTGGACAAGAAGCACGCCAAAAGTCCATTGACTGGAAAGCCTAGTTAAGATTACGCGAGCAGCCTTATTCTGTAATTTTACAGTTTCAGAAACTAAAAGAGCATCAACATAATAATTAGTTCGACACAACTGTTGTTGTTAGTGCTTACAGGTTTTCTTCACTCACATCTTGTTGAGCTTGTTCATTTTGACTTCGTTCAGTCTTTACTCTGTTGACTCTACCTGCAGCATTACGTACTCCAAAAAATCGTATCTCAATTTCTTCAGCGGCTGCAGTGTTTACAGTTCTGAACAATAACTCAATAAACGCGACCCTAAACTGCTTCATTCTTAACACGTAAATAATTGGGTTAAGCAACGAGTTTAAGAAACTTGACGAAAGAGAGAGAAAGGCAAACAGAAAAATTATCTCATCAGTTACATGACCAGCAAACCTTGATACAACAATGTTACCAACGTTTCCGGGTATAAAACACAATAATAATGCGGCAAGGATTATGGACGTTAGTTTAACAGCCTTCTTATTTTTCTCAAATTCTTTCCTTGCCTCTGGAGTGGTTTGCTGAGCACCAAGTTGTTTTTCATGTCGACGAGTTTCAAAGCAAACTGTGACATGGCAGAAAAAGATTACCGCAAGAGATACACTCATGGAAATTGTTGTACCCCGCAAAACCATAGTTTTGCTCATGAGAAACAGAAGCACTGTCTGAAATACGGATAGGAACCACGCCAATGCACTAGCAACAAGCAAGCGACCGTCGGTGACCAGGGTAACGTAATAGAAAGGGTGCTTCATGGCTATGTACCGCTCCCCGCTTAACAAAACCAAGTGGAAAAGCGAGGAAACAACCACGACAGAATTGGCAAATCTAAGAACCTGCAGAACACAATATCCACGAGGCTCGTTAAGTAACAACATGATTAACACAGCGGCGAAGGTAGGTTGAACTAGAATCCCGACTGTAAAGTCTGTCAAAGCCAGGAACGCCAGTAAAATGTTGGACTTGTGTGCTCTTAGTCGTGATTTTGCCTTAACAGAGATCATCACCAGCGCGTTCAAAACTGCGGTGACTGGAAAGCTGATGATGTTAAAGATGATGAGGAAGATCAGAAAAGCTTCACCCCAGGGGGAACGGTGTTGTAGTCTTTTGCCGAATACAAGGTCAGACTCGCAACCAGCAGGGCTTGTGGTAGAACTGAAATTCATGGCTTCTCGTTTTACGATATCGGGCTTTCCGCTGCTCAGTAAACTCGTTATTTTTAAAAAAGATTTGGGCGGAAAACTACGCCCGACTAAGAAGGGTGTTGTAGCCTTTTGCCAAACAGAAGGTGAGCCTCGCAACCAGCAGAGCTCGTGTTAGAACTGAAACTCACTGCTTACTTTTTATTCATCTCGCTGGCAGCCTGAGACGCCGCGCCGTCGGAGCTTATACCTGACTTGCACGGTAAGAAGTGCTTCTTTTGCCATTAAAACATTCTTCATACACGCGGCATCCTTTACGTTCTATAAGCTTTCTTTTAAGTCCGCTCTTGAAATTTGCATGTTTATAACAATAACGTTTGCTTTATACCTTGCACTGTTTCTGAACATGCAGCATATTGCGATCAAAAGCGAAAAGAACAAATCAACAACGCCAACCGAGTTTAAATTTCCGACTGTCTTGTTGGAAATTTGGGACCAAGAGAATTTGACAAAACACACACAAGAGAGGGTATCGTGAACCTGAAGCTACGTTCTATTGAAGAAAGTTTTTCTTATGAGAGAATTAGCTGCCAATCCCCAACGAATGTTACCTGAACCATTTTTCCCACCATTACCACGTTTGCCGCAGCCGACGAGATTTATCCATCTTCAACGCAACAACGATGAAATTTCTCGCTAACTTTCCATTCGTGAATTTCCATTTATAACAAATGTTTAACACAGGGCCAGGCAGTGTATTTGTACAAATGATTTTGTCTCAAAATGGCTGTAGAGTAGAGAAAATAAAAGTAAAAATAACCAGCCATTTATTCAGTTGTTCGGTTGTTCAAAAATACAGGTGGCCGTTTTAACACCTTTATCCGTAAATGGAATCTCCTATCAATAGTTCTGATCGCGCCGTAAATTAGCCTTTTGTGAACCACAGTACTGACCCAAGGAAAGGATTCACAAAAATAATGAAATTTCTCTTTCTAAAATGCTATGACATACATTACGCAAATGTACTGCTAGAGAGGATTTATTTTAAGAACATACACTTTTGTCCACAAATTTTCAAATTAGAGTGATGGATAATCGTTCGTAAATTGAAATATATGAAATAACTCATATTTTACAACCGCGTTTTTTTTTTAACTGCGAGGATCATTTCCACTTTTATTTCGTTATCCGCAACTCAAAGTATGAGTCATTCCATCTATTTTCATTCATGTCATTTTCACCACTGGGTATATCACTACCTCACAGTGGCCCGGTCTCCAGTTGGCTTGATGAGCTTAATGGATCTAGAGCGTTACGTGCGGTCATCGCAAAGGTCAGCGTTCGATTCCCGGTCAAGCCTGAATTTTTCAGTTTTTTATTTTTTCAACCGCTTAGGTCGTTTATTCAACTGCGAGGATCATTTCCACCTTCAAGTCTTTCATAAATTGTTCTAGGAGTGAAAAGGTTAAAATGCAGTGCTACGTATAGCCGTGTCTGCTTTTTCTTTCTTTCTTTCAATTTTTTTTTTAATAAGACGCGAACTGAGTCCACTGAACGCCTTGAAAAAACTTATTTTTTATTCTGCTCATTTTCCAAACCACTCTTTTTCTATGACGGCGGGGAAGGGACAGGGTATTCTGCCTATAGTATAGTCTTTGTAGCCATCATGAATTGTGCACTGTCAATTCGACCATATAAGTCGCTCAGACACATCAAGTGAATTTCCACTGTAATAAAAAAAGGGTGTCATTAAAGATTTCATTTCTGGGAATTCAACCATTTTTGATATCAATTTTTCGACTTTGCTCTTGACAATTGCGGTTTTTATGTTTTAGTCCTTAGTGATTGCTGCTGTTGTTGTTGTTTTTTTTATGTCGTTCGATTTTTCTGAGAGAGAACGTGTTTTCTTCCAGTTTTTTTTTTCGGTTTGGGATCATTTGATTTTTCTAACAAAGAAAAGTCGTGTTTCTTACTGAAAACGTTGCCGCTGACCAAGTGGTTAGCACTAACACTGGAGGCCACTTAGCAACCACATTGGCAGCCACACTGGTTGCCATATTGGCAGTCATATTGAAATTCACGTAGTTAGTTTTCCCGCTCTTTAAAACCCTTGTCGACTGAGCGGGAGATAATAACTCAGTAAGTTAACCGGCCAAAATTCCTCCTTATCTCTGCGGCCTCTTCTGAGGAATTCCTTTCAGCGGCGCCATTAAAAAATGCCTTAGGCACCAGGTTGGCTTGCATTTGTTTACAGTGCCTATCAACAAGAAATGATTTATCCAATTTTTTTTAACATAAACATTCATCACTTTTGTGGTTCTATTTTGTAGTGACTTCAATTTTCATTTTATTATGGCGATGTAGATGAATATTAGACGACCGAACAAACTGAAACATTTCCAACTACAATTAATGAACACTTTCGCGACAAGCAAAGAAGAACTGAAGAAGACCTGAGGCCGATTTAGGCGATAAAAGCAGATCTCACACCATTGTGCTCACAAATCTTCTCAGTTTGTCCTTAGACACGAAATGTAGTGTGCAAATTGAACGATAAACTAGTTTACCTCAGTTGCGCATGGTATACAAACGTCGGGTGATTTTGAAAAATGTTTGAAGGAAGACGAAGTACAGATACAATCTCATAAGGGCGTAACAAGCAGGGATTTCTGACTTGCATGGAACGTGACGGGAGCCGGCATGGCCGAGCGGTTAGATGGCTGGACTTGTACTCCAGAGACCCCGAGTTCAAGTCCCCCACCCCACCCCCCATGACCGCGGTAGCTGGATTTGTTCTTGGTAGTGAGCCCAAGTTCAAATTCACGATCAAGCATGTAAATAGTCAACTGGTTTACATTGGACCGGTTGGACTGATTATTAACCTTGTTATGTTTATTTGAATTATCATTCGATGCAAATTTTTCTTCCTTTTCATTGGCCGACAGCCCACCATTTGACCTGTAAATAACTGCCTACAAATAACGGTCGCCAATGCGCACTGTTATCCAACTGTGTTTGGCTGCAAATAATACACTGCTCATGCGTAAATGAAACCACGCTTTTCTCCTCCATGCGATCGCTCTTGCGTAAAAATGGCAGATCGCTTGGCTTCCCAAATATATCATTAAAAAACAAACTCGGTGATCGAATGATCAAACAATTATTTGTTTCCGTTGTTTGCTCGGCCCCACAAGCCTTTGCGCTATAATACTTCCGAGGGTAAATTAAAGAATTAATTATTTATCATTATTGTTATTATTATTACATCATATTACATCTCTTGTTGTAGACATAGGAATTGGGGTAGCCCAGACTTAATGTAATTTTGATTTTTTTGGTTTTGGTTTTTTTTGTAACAATTCAATCTCAAGCAGCCAATAGTAAATTGCCTATGCGTAGCGAGATTTACAATTGTACATTAAAAACACAAATAAAGTTTCCATGAATTATCATTATTACTATTTATTACTTAATTTATTTTTTTGTGATGGAGGGGAAACGAACGTCGGATTAGGACATAAGTGAACGTGACTAAAATAACAGTCATAGCCTCTAAATTAGCCCCAGTTTACACAAAAGAAATAACATACTTGGCAACTCCTTTGGTGTTTGCGTACAGAGTTTCCGCCTTCTGCTTTGCTTCGCTTTCTGTCAGACGATGGTTGAACTGAAGAAGCAACTTCTCAGCATATTTTTGCCCCGCGCCATAAATACGACCATAGTTGAAAATCTAAAAAAAAAAATAAAAGGAACGATTGTTATGTTTGCTGGTTGTTCTGTGTCATTCCCAGTCGCTCGCAATCGCTCAGCCTTGGGAAGCCTGCACAGAGGGAAGCCGTTTGCAAAGGAACTAATGTAAAATGTCAGCCGTGTCATTCCTTAACCCACGGGTGGGTGAGTGGGGGGGGAGTGGGACGAGGGAAGAGAGAGAGACTACTTTTAACTGTGGTCCGCTTTCTCTCCTGACGGTGATTTGGGGGTGGGAGGAGACGCCTGAGGCTTCCATCTCACCTCGACTAACATCTCACCTTAGCATGATCTCGACTTATTCCAATAGTTTCGGCAGTTTTGCTGTGCAGATCTGTTCCTTCTGACTTCTTACCTTGTAGCGTCATCCAACCGAACGCTGTGCTACCTGCGAAAATCCGCCAAAACAGGGTATCTAATTCACCTTAGTTACAATGTAAAAACTTTGCTTATAAAATTTGTAACCGATTCAGCTAGTTTACAGGCCTTCCACTAAAATAATGAATCACAACCTAAATCAAACATGCCAAGTTTACGAAGTCAGTTATTACTACCGGATAGCGAGTTCGAATGCTGTTCAGCCCACGTTTTATGCTGGTTTCACGCAAGGAAGTACGAGCTACGAGGGAAGTAGAAACGAAAACTCTCTTCCTCTTGCTTCGCGAGTAAACGCCTGTGGACGGCGCACGTCAACCGGGGTGGGCCCTGTATTATTTTAATATGCCTTAGTGCTACCAAATTTGTATTGCGGCTAAGTGTCTTTGCTCGTCTAGACACAATTTGCCCGTAAATTTGGGCAAAATCGCTGTCCAAAAACACAAAACGTCCACTTCCGGTTGATCTCTTAAAAACGTCCTTCCTTTTACCAATGTGACGGCTGGTAAAACCCAGCCTTTTAACCCTTTAAGCCCCAATATCCACAAGCAAATTCTCCAAACTGATCTCTATACATTTCTTTAAAGAATAAGTTGAGAGAATTTGATAAAAGATCAAAGCATCTTCCCTTTAGTGATCACTTCATTAATTGTCATAACCTTATCTCTTGACAAGGTATGGATATCTTTAGGAGAAAGTTGGTGTTGGTCACCATTGGGGCTTAAGGGTTAATTCGTTCTGTTAAAACCACTCTTCTCTTCAACGTTTGACATACATTTTTTATAACCCTCTTACCATGAATCCCAGCGAAATGCGCATCTCCTAATATGGCAGCAATCCACAGTTCTTGACTGTCTACATCAGCCCCTACTAAACAGTACCCAGGAGGAGCCCGCACCATAGCCTTTAACTCAGACCCCACACGATCCTCCTGAAGGCGAAAACCGATGAAAGAGTAAGGTTATGACTAGAATGGATATCTTAAAAGCAGGTTGGACACCTTTTGTTTATTACATAACGCTATACTCCTCGTAGAGAACCATTTATGCGAGTTAATTGCCTGGGCAGATTTTTTAAAAAAGTGGGGAAATCAGAGTAAGAGACAGCTGTGCAAGGAAAGAGTTGAGGGTTAAGCACTCTTTTAAAAACGGTTAGCTCTTAATAAAGTGGTGATCAACCTCATGTTAAGTACGTTAAAATTAACCGGTGTCGGCGGTTAGCCCTTGATGGTGTGGTGGATGCGGATATGGATTACACATCATATGATGCGGGTTCAGTTTTAAGTTATAAGACTCCTATCATGTAGTTTGAGTACAGATGACAATCTGATTTTGGCGTATCCATTCTAGGTACAATCAAAACAGTAACCGTATGTATATTTCACATGAACCTATGCAACGACTACTGTCACAGCGCCTGGCCAGTGTTAGTCTATCATTTAAGACTGAGAAGAAGAGGGACGTAAAATAACTTACACTACTGTTCTACTTTCTGAGGCGGAGCGAAGCTGCAACGCACCGATCTCTAAAGTGGAGTGTCCTATATCGGACAGGCTCTGTGCCACACTTAAGCGGCGAGTGAACAGTTATTCGGAACGCAGAGGAAGTGAATAAGTAGGAGCGAGGACTGGAACCCACCGAGACGGAAGTAATTATTCAGTAGTGAGGACTGAGATTTAGAGCACTAAGCACTCTCGGCTAATTGCTCCGGCACGATGTTCGATGAGCGTGAACGACTTGCTTCAGTCCCGTGCGGTTGCTGGTCAAACTACACCAGATAGAGCGATTTTCGTATAACCTTGAAATGAAAACGCGCGAACAAAACAGAAACAACAAACGAACGGAAATAGAGCGATTTGATCGGTTTGTCGAACGGATACAAACGTCCGTGGCTTTTGATTGGTTAAGCGAACGCTCGGGTGCAAAAACTTCATGCCCGAAGAACTTTCTAGAAATCAATCGATACTTCGCTTTGACGTCATACTGCAACACGACTGGCCAATCGAACAATGCCTTCTCCATATTAGGGTTTTCTTTGGTGGGAAAACAAAGAGTCCATGTTTTGATCTTTTCATTCATTGGCTGATAAAACAAATAACGAACACTTACCGAAACCAGTTTTCAAGATCATACGAAAATCGCTTTAGCATTTTCTTTCCACTCAAAAAGCTAACCAGTGTAGTGTAAGCATATCCTTACTCCTAAATTCTTGTTTAATAAAATTCTTAGCCACTTACCCTGGGGTTACTAGCAGTCAGCCATGTCGGTTCCACTGCCCTTCTTGTTACCGTTCCAGCAGTGATAACTCGCGGCAAGATGGTGCCTAGCATGTTATCAGCACTATATTTATCGGATCTGCAATCAGAAAGGAGGAGCTTTTTTAGCTATGTCACCCAGAATGCACCCTGCGAGCAGAGCTTCCTAGCTTTTGTCTACTTGAGAAATAAGGAAAAAAGGAGGCTCAGTGTCTGAGTCACGTCAAACCTCTGAGGTCGCCGCAGCCCGAACGTCTGGACTGGTCAATCTTGTTTTCTCTCGTCAAATTGTTTTTTTTTTTTTCGAGTACAAGCATCCCTTTATTGATAAACCGATGGTCACAAACGAGCCCCCTGTAGCAAGCGTGCGGCTGTTAGGCCTGGGTTCCAAACTATATCCTAGCAACATGCAGCGCACGCTCAACAAAGATCTGACTCGATTCATGCAGAGTCTTTCTCGAGTATGTCCAAAATGTACCTAACAAGACAATCCCGTCCCCAGGCCTCTCCTTAAAAAATGGGAGAGGCGGGCCCTGGGAACGAGGTTGCTAACAAGAGAAAATTGAAGACTAGAAAGATTTGTAATAATAATAATAACAATAGTAATAACAATAATTCCGTTATTTACCCTCGGCAGTATTTATAGCAAAGGAGGGGCAGAGCAAATGCCAGAAACAAATAATCTAAATCAAACTTAACGGGTTAAGAAACCCAACTGGCTGGAGGCAAACCAGCTCGCTATTTAAAAATGTGGCCGAGGATCCGAACTCGGGACCATCGCGAACAAATCAAGCTACCGGTCAGAGCGTGACTTGAACTCGAGGCCTCCGAATAACAAGTCCAGCGTTCTAACCGCTAGGCCACGCTGCCTCCCATGTCCGAGTGACTGATATTTCTTTCATACCCTGTTATTTCTGCGGGCAGATCGTCTTTGTCAAACCAAACAGCCAACTGAGACCTGAGAGGTAAAAACAAACAACACCACTGTGATGTCAGGCTCACACGGGGAGGGACAGGATTGGAGAGAAATGAAGACGAACAGGGAATGCGTCATTTTACTACAATATCAACTTCCTGTCGATTTTCTTCCTCCTTTTTTTCTATGTTTTCTTACGGCAATACTTAACAAAATGAAATTTAGGATTTTTAAAAGATTTAAGACTTAAAAGGAGCTATGTCCTCAGGATATTACTGTTTTGGTCAACTCTGTGCTTAAGTTATTATATTTACTTAGTACCTTTTCTCAAACACTAAAATGAGAGTAAATGCTCCCGTAGATTTATGGACAAGATATCAAACAAATTCATAGGGAACACTAACCACAATATGGATAAGCGCTTGTCTGCTAAGCGGGAGGCCGATGGTTCAAATTAAACCTCGACAAGATCAACACTGAGGGTCTTAAATAACTGGGGACGATAAACCGTAGGCCCCATCTCACAACCCGTGCACAAATTAATTCTGTGGGATGTTAAAGAACCCACGCACTGTTCGTAACGAGTAGGGGACGTAGTCCCTGGTGTTGTGGTCAATCTTTCATGGGGAAAGCAACTGTTACTAGCCACAGTAATTAGCACCACGCGAAGATGCAGTGATCCTGCCAAGAATTTTGCGAACCTAAGTAAATAAATAGTCACTGTTTTATCCTCTATACTCTGTTTTCTAAAAATCCGAACCTTATTCTCTTCTGAGCATTTCTCCACGACGAAATCATCTTGTTAATGATCAGAGTTTTATGAGCGCTGTGGTCTCCAGAAGCCACCAACGTTCCATCCTCAATCTTACTGATGTAGTCTTTTGCCAAGGGATTCCCGCAACGGTAGTTTTCACCATTCTAAAACAGGAAAAGGTCAGAAATGATAACCTGAATTTTCGACTGTCTCAGGCTGTAGTCACTTGATATAGCAGATCCAAAAAATTTTAACTAAAAGAGTTTTGTCATCAATCACTGGGACAATTTCAATTTTTTTTCACTATTTATTCAAAATATTTCTCCGTTTCTGATCGGCTAAAATCACACGCATAATTCTCATGCCCAGCTACTGTTGACCAAATTTGGAACAATTTGCCATATTGAGCCGATGACGTCAAATGTGCAGCAAAGTTGTAGATTATTGAACCGTTAACCGAGAAAACCTAGGGACCAGTTTTAGTTGTTTTCGAAGTGAGTAATGTGCGAACATTTTACTCGTTTCACGGCGAACTATTGTCTAAAAACATGGCAAGAACAGTAAGAAGACAACTCGACGGACGACATCTGCCATTTGGAGAATATTTGCAGACCCAAACAGCCGTTTATCTCCTAAACTTCCCGATAAAGATGCACTATCGATATGAACTTAACATCGACCGAGGTAAGAATGTTTTAGCTTGTTTTTAATCTTGGAATTATTTTGAATGAATAATAAAGCAATCTCGGAGGGTCCCCGATCTGCAGAATTCTTTATCCCCTACGAAAGCCAAATTCAATAATTGCTAAATATATACAAAGTTAAAATTAAAGTTAAGCGTTTTAATCAACCAGTTAAAATGGAAGTAGTCTCAGCAAAGCCAAAGGTAGGAACTTGCTTATCACAAGTCCCCCGTAGTTCGGTGGTTTAATATCCAATTATAGATTATTTCTTGCTCAAAAGCCATTAATGAACATCAGCGGCTGATAACAAGCTTCGAACAAGTCTGCTCATGCGCAGTAGGGAAAAGAGTGGTTTGCCGTTTGCCGAAATGCTCTGCTCATTCGCAGTTCAACCCTAGTGTTGGCGGCTTTGGCAGCAAACTGAATTCCTTTCACGACGAAACGTGATTTGTCAGTGATCACTATCATGTGCTCTCTTAGGGGGTCAACCAACGAAAAAACTTGCCAAAACAAGCAGTTACGTATCGAGTTTGTAATTTCCTTCCACAAGTCTAAAATGTCTAGATCAAATGTCGTCAAGTTTCGCACAAGAATTGCGCGCGCTCACTTCTCAGGGTACCGTCGGTTGATATTGCATCAATAACCGACACACAACGATCAACTCAACCCATATTGAATTACAAGTTTTTAAACATTTGTTGTCTAGAATAAGCAAAACGTCCGTGATTCCTAACTAAAGCCGCTTATTGATCTGGTTGCCCCTCTAAAATACCACGTGACACAGCCAACACCATTTTTCCAATTGGTTTATTGCTCTCTATGTCTTTCAACTTATAGTTTCTTCTGTTTTTGTTTCAAACCTTATGAGGTATGCGGAAGAACCACACTCCTGGAAGATCAACATCATTAAAAGGCCCAACTCCATGATAAAAATCAGGCTTGCTTTCTGTACCCGAGATTGTTTCTTGGCTTTTAACTTTTGATGCTTTCTTACTCGGAGTCGTATCAGTATCAGTTTTTGGCGAGGCACTGCGTCTCGGTTTCTTCATTTCTTCCAGCTCTGATTTTGTCCACAGTTGATCTTCACTCAGAGAGTAAACATCCAATTCGTTGTCATCAAACGTCGAGTCCTTGCTATCACCCTTTTCCTGATTTTTGTTCATGCTGTGCTTTCTCCAGAGATCATTAAACGCTCTGAAATTTGAAAGAACGCCGTCAGATATTCATTGAAGTAACTTCTCCTAAACCCACCCGCTTAAGATGCTACCCACGCAGTGGAATTGTAAACGAAAAAGCTTTGACTTTGGAACAGAAAAGACTTGTTCTGCCATTCTCTTAGACATTTAAGGAATCACATAAGAAATCTATCGGCAAATGTAGGCAGGAAGCCTACGAAGACCAAAATAGCTTATAAGCAGAAAATGGCAATGTTGATACAAGAGTTTTATGGATTATACTTTAGAGAAATGCCGTCGAGATTCCGGCTTAGCTCCAGCACTTAGTTTCACTTCAAATAAAATCTGCGTTCATTTGCTTAAACTTAACGATCCAAAGCCATAAGATCGCAGAGGCGTGTAAGTGCAAAATCTAGCCCTAGTCAAATCTACCTATTTTGCTTGGTTTAAATGCCAACCATTTCCCTTTCAAAACTTACGTGTCTACCTACCTAGTTGGAAATGTTAACTCTGGTTTCTCTGTTTCCACATGTTCGTCTTCGTTACTAGGCAAGGTGACCAGGTTGCTAGTGAGATTATCTGTTCTTCCAGGGACCAGGTATCCCCAGCCATGCTTACGAGTGTGGTACAGTGGAAATCCATCCCAAGTCATGCGCAGTAGCATGGGCGCAATTTGACACTGAGGGCTGATGTTTACAGGCCCTTCCTTCCACTCTTCTTTGTCCGATGGTCCAATACATAGAGATCGGTACCACCTAAAAATACGGTCGAAAAATGTGTTTTGTTTGCATTGTTTGTGGAAAACACCTTCGCAGAAAATCAAGTTAAAGTAATAAAGGAGCTACGTCTTGAATTGCGCATGTACGAGATGTGTTTGTTTCATGGTTTCTGTTGGATCAAGGTCGGCCCCGTGATGATAGCACTTGCTTGCCTCCATTGTGGAAGGTCTCAACGTCGACGCCATAATAGGTGCGGTTACACTAGCCATTTTATCCATGGACTAATGGCTGTTGCCCATGGGAAAGCAACTTTTTGAGTGTGACTGATTTCACCAAGATGAAATTACTTCGGGGAAATTTCCATGGATACGTCAAAAAGAACAAAAGAATTACTTACGACAGTTTCTGAGGTAAGTTATATGGGTTAATAAGAACCCAAAGCCGCTCAACCGATCACGAGAAAGTGAAATGTGCCAAACAGTAAAAATCACGTGTTGTTGCGGACGGACGGTGAACGCGGGCGGGCGGAGTTCGTCTTGGCGCCAAATTTTCTCGGATGGGTAGGTTACTTTATTTTCTTACCCATGGTGAAACTGGGAGCTTTGCGCGCCAAAGTTTGGAAAATTACGTCTTGTTTACGTGAACAGGAGTTTTTGAGCAAACAGCTGTCAAAATGGAAATTAACAGGATTTTAATTAATTAACTTTTGATAAAAGCACCTTGAACATTCGCAAGTGTTCAAGAATTCTTTCCTTACAAAGTCGTTGCAACCATTTTTTTAAGCCGTCCTTTTGACTTTTGAGCAAGAATTTGCCTTTCTTTTAAGCGAGAATGAAGTCGACGTCTTCCTTTCTCAGTAGTCTCAAAATTAAGGGCTGAAACGCTCTTGCTACGCTTAATCTACGTGGAGATTTTATTACAAGAGTAAAATTAAAATTAATGGTCGAAACCGTTTACGATATATGTTTACGACCGTTCCCGTGAAATCGGGTTCAATTTTTTTCCGTTAAACCAGGTTGAAAGTTTTTTCATTGCGAAATAACCTCAAACATTTTGAAAGCTTTGGGAAAAATGTAAAACCTTTGGAGACAGTACGGAACTTAAGCAAGGACGACGACGACAGCAGTGAAAACGTCGGTAAAACAAATGAATTTGCGTTCTTTCAAAGTTAATCGCGTCTATTTGGACCCGCTAAATATGTCAAATGCAGGCGACTTTTCTCGGAGTTGAATTCTTAAGCATTTTATTCAAGTTCAAAAAGAGGAAGGAAAATTCCTCGATTTATGTCCACGTCCTCCAAAAAACGTCAAATTAGGAGGTTTTACGTCGTAGTCGTGCAGTGGACTTCAAAGAAAATAATGTACTAAAAAGCGTGATACACGTGCAGAGCTGTTGTTTTGATCATTAAACCTATTGTTTTTTGAAGTTGTTGTCGTCGACGTCGTCGGAGTTGCTTCAGCTGCCAATTAAGATCCAAGGGCGGCGAAAGCTACGAGAACGTCATTAAAGCAAAAGGGTTGGACGCCGATGTCGGTTACACAAGACGATTCGCAAAAAACAAGGTCGCAACAATATTTGCAACGCTCGGTTGCACTGAAAACAGTTGTTGCCAATCGTCCCGTTGTTGTGAACCGACAACTCTACGCGTGCATCCTACTTTTTCTCAGCAGTAACTGCATGACTACGACGTGAAACTTCCACAATTCACGTTTTAAACAACAAGAAGACGATTTCTCTGTTTCTTTTTCGAACTTATTTACAGTCGACCTTAAGAATACAAAAACGTCTTCGTTATCGTCGCCTTCTTGGGTGCCTTTAATAAGTTCCCTAATGTGGGTTGTGTTTATTGTTAGTTCTCTCCCTTACCCCGAGAGGATTTTCTTCGTGTTCTCCGGATTTCCCTATCCCAAAAAGCCAACCCTTTCAAACTTTGCATTGTTGGGATTGTAAAATGGAGTATTAAGGGTTGAAAGAAATAAAAAACAGCAACAACAACAATAATTCACTTACTTAGGATAACCTGGCAAGTTCTGTCGTCTCTTGTACATCACATCCACAGCTGGAGGAACGGTAGCTATCATATCAGTGGAGCTCTTTAATCCTTCAATTACCTCCACATTGTTATCATCGATCAATTCATCTTCAGAAAACAAGCCAGACGTTTCTTCTACAGTTCTGATGACATTAGTAGTGTTTTTTTCCACCTTGGATTGCCTTTTCTTCTTTGGCTGTTTCAGTTTTTTGGTTCTTATTTCTTGTACTGACCAGTCTAATTCCCAGAGCCATGCATCCTCTGCATACCTGACCAAATTTAAAGAACAGGAATGTGCTGCATAAATACCCTAAATTGCTGCTTATAAGCTCCACCGCCTATAACCCCCACCCCCCTCCCACCCTACACCCACACACACATACCCTGTTGTAGGCTTACCTAACTGTAAACAAAAAATATTTCACAATTATTCCTCGAGCCTGAATGGGCTCTGAGTCAATAGCCCATGAGGCTGAAGGCCGAATGGGCTATTACCTCAGAGGCCATGAGGGAGAGGGGAATAACTTTTTTTAGTAAAATACAACTAGTTGGTCAAAAATATCGAGAAAAAAAAATTTAGCTAGTTAAAGCTAGACTTTAATCCTTTTACTTTAATCCTTTTTTGCCGCCAAAAAGCCTGTGCTTTTCCCTACTAGGGGGCTATAACATATAGCCTAGTAGTAGCTCAACCAATCAGAATGCAGCATTGATAATAGACCACTAGTTGGATTTTACTAATCTGATTATAGGCCCCCTGGGTATAAGCCTTCCTAAAATTATATTAAAATGAATTAGATTTATAAGGACGTTTTGAAGATTTATTAAAAACCAGTCAATGCAAAAGGTATTTTGATCAGCATGCTATAACTTGTTTAGAAGCAATTTTTCGACTTTGGTTATGAGCCGCTTGACATATAAGCCCCTCCATGTATAAGCCCTCCGAAAACCCTTATGTAGATGTATAAGCCCAGGGATTATAAGGGGCACTTTATGCTCTCAGCATATAATATTATTTGTGGGCAAGATCAAGCAAATCTTGTGTTCTGATTGGCTACACAAGCTGGCAAAATGGGCTCATCTTGGCCCTCAGGATTTTCCCAATGGTCCCACTAAAAAAGATTTCTTTCTGCCCACATAATAAATCCTTTATTGACCAAGCTTGTGCCTTTGACTTCTTCTCAGTCCATAAATATTTGTATCCAGACTAAACACTTGCTCAATAATGCATACATTGTAATCCCCAACAGGGGCAGGCATCTAATGTGGAAGTATTATGAAGACAATACAAATAAATGCAGGGTCAAAAAAAATGATTATAACTCTTTTCACTCCATGTAAGGTAATTCAGATTCTGCAATACAGGAAATTTTTGCTCCTAGAATCCGGAGTCATGGGCTTTGGAATCTGGAATTCAGCTCTAGGAGTTCAGAAACCTGCTAACAATTCGAATCCAGAATCTAAATTCCACCGACAAGGAATCCAGAATCCAGTAGTTGTTATCTGGAATCCATAGTGTGGAATTCAGAATCCAAGACTGTCTTGGATTATCTAACATGGGGCGACTCTTTCCAAACCTTTTTCCATGAAGACAATTGCAAGTATCATCTGCCAGTTTCATCAGTGAGCGCTTCATCTCATTTTCTAAGTCATCATAGGTATTGTCAGCGTCCCTGATGTAATTTTCCCAAGATTGATTGACGGGGAGATATGCTGATCCCATTTCTAACATCCCAGCAAAAGACACAGGGTGAGGAAACCTATCCAGGAACTTGGGCCAAAGGGCAGCAAATACTTCCTGAGTTGCAGCTGTATCCTTAGCACAATATGTTACCAACTCCTTTTGAAAAAAATAATTAGCCAAAGATAAATAACTTAAAGAGCCCAAAACAGAGCGTTGGTTTCATTGATAGCTTCATTTTAGGAAACTGTAAGGTGCTGGGAAATAATTTATTGTACAAGAGATCAATAAATTAACTGTCAACAACAGGAGAAATGTTGCTGATCAGCATCAGATGGTTACATGAAGTGTTAGTAATATAATTTTTTTAAAGTAAAGATTGACTGAAAAAAAAAAATTTAAATATAAGTTTTGATGTATGACTTACAGAAACTAAGTCCAGCGACATGAAATCAATATAATGCCAACATTAATTTTTCATATTCTACTTTTAGAGAACCTCATTTAATTTCTTTTTTTTTCTTTATACCTGGAAATGTTCTCGAACATCATCAAGCATCCCTTCCACAAATATTTTCACCATTGACTTGTCTAAATCATCTCTCCCACAATAAAGAGACTGAAGGTCCTGCAGCTTATTCCCTGAGCCACCCAACATCCATGGCACTTTTCCAATGCGACCTGCATTTGCTGACTCCCAAAGGTTGCGCTGCAGACTTGTGAAGCCTGCAATGCACATGTGAAGACTCAGAGTATCCAGAAAATATGTCTTTGGTCCCTGAAATAGGCAAATTAAAAAGGAACTGGAAATGTGATCGACAACACATCCACTTAAAGTGAGTGAACCTTGCTTGAACCAAAACATACAGTCCTGCACAAATTAAAGAGGATTCTGCTGTCAGTAACCATGCCCCAAACTTACAAAGGCTTAGGTAAAATATTTCATAAGTTTAAATAAAAAACTTATTGTGATGCGACAATACTAATTATTCATTCTGGGAATGAAAGGGCAAAAAAGGGTCATTTTGTATGTAATACTATTTAGACTAATTACAAGGCAATATAATTATGCAGGGTGTTCATTAGGCATCAGAGATAACAGAATTTTCCATTTACTATGCAGAATTCCCGAGCTAACAATTGGTAGCCTCTGACTATTTTTTATTCAGACATGGGAGCCTCTTTCAAAATATTCTCCTGCAACATTACACCTTTCTTCTGCTAGCAGAATTCTTACTGAAAACCCTGTATATGGCAATTCTCTAATCCTGCTTCTGTCTTCACTTTCCTTTTAATATAATGGATACTTTTGATAGTCCGAGTGGTACTGACAGTTCATGGTTAAACAGTCAGCGAAATCTATCCACTTGAAAACATAACAGACTAAGCAATCATACCTTAATATAATACTGCTCTTTTATAAATGATCTGTCATATCCAATAGAATGACCAACAATAAGCCTCTCTTTCCACTCTGCCTGTCTCCAGTCTTGTCCCTCAGGAATCTCTAGTGGTATGTATAACTTAGGTGTTGGCTGCACCAACCACTGGTAACTCTTGTCTTCTATAAGTCTTGGACTCACCCAACTGTACCTGAGTAGGCATGAGTATGAAATGAAATGAAATGAAGAGTCGTGGATGAGAGGACAACAGACACGCCCTCTTACCATACATTTTAACATATGAACAGTATACAAGCTCGGGTGTCAGCATATAAAGGCACCACTGGCAGCCGCTCTCAGTCCATTTGTGAGCTTATTGTACCCTGTCCTGGCAGTGACCCAACCCATGATGTGAATGATGTGATGAGTGAAGGTTGACCACAACATCGGGGTCTACGTCCCCTACTCTTTTCGAACAGTGGTGCTAAAGAAATTAATTAAACTGGTCCCACAAATGGACAGTATAACATCAAAGCCTCCACTAACAAAGACTGCTAAGGAGGGTTCACATTTGTACATCGTGGTTTGTGTAGAGGTGAATATCAGAATATAAACTACAAAGAGGATATTACTGGAAAAATGCATATTGGCTCATTGATCCAAGACAGGGGGTTGTAAAGGCATGTTCTTGATTTTATGCATGCATTTTTTCATTGCTTATCAAGCCAGAATTACATAGCAAAACTCGGGAGCTATCGACCTGAATCAACATTGTTTAGTTAGTGAATCAAATTTCTGTTGATATTTTTTGAAGAACATCCTTTCATATTTATAGAACTATTCATAACATGTAACTTTACAGCGCTCTATTAATTTTAACGTCAATAATTTTATATCAATACTAAAACCATAAACTGGTTCATGTCGTCGCCACGTGAAGTCTTAATAAAGAATCCTAGTGCTAGTACAAAGAAGACGTTACTTGAAACAAAAAATGGGACATTAAAATGTTTAAAACAGCACTATTCGACTGTGCGATCAATGAAAAAGGTTGCAATGTTGACAGAGAATGGGGCATTTGCCCTCTTTTTTCGTTACCACCTCGGGGGATTTGACCGCCTCAAGAGTCCCCACCCCCAGGAATTTGCCATCCAAGGCAAAAAAAATGCTAGTGCCCGGGGGTGTTGGGCACAGCTGGAATTGACTGACGCATAATATCCCTAATCCAGAGCTTCAAGTATTAAATGGCAATCCCAGATCCTGAAAAACCTACTAGGTAATTCTGTAAGTTGTGTTGATCACCTACCAAGCAGTAGGTGATGCTGCTACAGCAATAACAGGAAAAGGACCTTCATTAACAGAAACTTCAACGTCAAAGATTAAAGCATCCTCGTCTGGAACATCCACTGATGATGTAACAAGATCCTTGTCGTCATATACATACTTAGTCCACCCTGGAGAGAAACACCACTCATTTGGTATTGCAGGAAGTCTTAATTCCGCTAACAACTTAGCCTTTTCAAAATACGGCCTGCTTTGTTGCTCTGCGATGTTTCTAAAGTGTTCATCGATGTTTGAGCCCAGCTGGGGTGGTAGCTCAAACTCCACTTCAGGTAAGACTGTCCCACTTTTCTTCCACAAGCTGTGTGCAGTCAAATGTTCTTGGCATTTTTTAATCGTCGTTGGATCGTAGGTATCCATTTTGCCACGGAACACTTGAGCGTGTAGCGAACTAGACAGCATTTGTATTTCAAGTGGGTTGAATCTCTTTTGTTCTTCATTTGGCTCGATCTCATGAAATGTTGTTGATGATGAACACGTGCTACGCGGCAGACGAAGCAAAAGAAATCTCGCCGGAATTCCTGTAGGCCATCTATTCCAGCTCGTTTTTATCGCGCGATACATCGTTAAGAATTTAAGATCCTTTGCATCTATGAAAAGTATACGAGAGAACGATGAAATGCGCCAAACAATATGCTGCAATTGACATGATGAAGACTCGAAGTTCCAGAGGCCATTTTTCGCGCCTTTGAAACCATTCCACTTCGCACTAGGGGAGGGGGAAGACCTACTCACACTGGAATATCGTGCTAAAGGAAATAAACTAAGTTTTCGCATTATTTTTTCCTAAATCAACCACTTTTAGTATCCAAGATGAGAATGTTTTCATAAAAAAACTATTTCAATATTTTTTACGCAGCCTTTCACTCTTCTGATCAACAACCTCCCCTCCCCCGCCCCCCGCTTCCCCACACCCGTTTTCACACTGAAAACCTGTAGCTACACTTAACGCAAAATACATGACCTGGTACACTTAAAATTTCATTGAAAAACCGCTGAAATTTACTTCCTGTTCATCAAAGGCTCGTCGTTGCCTGATGCAACACACCCGTAATCCACCATTTGCTTGGAATTTCTGTAAATTTAAACCCTTTTCTCAATAATTCAAGTTATTTATCGTCTTAGGATAGGTAAAGTACAATGTCTGAATCCCTGAATTCTGAGATGGAAAAGTTGGATGTTCAAGGTAAGCAAAGCAACAGTTGTTTGTCTTGTTTGCGGACGCACGTGTGTTGAAAGGCGGTCGATCCCCTACATTTTTTCATCAGTTCACGGCAAGGAAACCACGATATCGCAGTGGATAATTTGCTAACCTAGAGGGGACGGTCAAAGCGAAACAGATTTGGCTATATTGGGAATTAGAATTTGAATTTTCGTGCACATTTAATCTTACTAAAGCTCACACTAACCTTACTGGTTCGGTGATTTTGCCGGGTTTTGTACTTTGCATTCGGACACTTTATCTCAGAGAACACAATCACTGTCCTTCCTTATAGAACGATGCACATGTGAGATCAAAACAAAGAAAACCTTTTTTCTATTCAATTTTCGCGCATAGAGTGAGTAAGCGTAAGTTATCAGGAATCGTTAAACATATAAGTTTTTGTTTATTTGCCTTGATCGATATTGATTTACTTACACTGCATGTGTTAGAACGTTATTGGCTCATTTCACCTACTAGAATTGATCTGTTTTTCATACTGTAAAGCAGTGATTTTTAAGACAAGATGCAATCAGAAAGTTGCTTGTTCACCGTGAAACCTTCATTTTTACTGTTTCATGATGAAATATGCCTTTTCATGCCTAATTGGTTGAGAGGTATTGTCTATAGATGACACCATAGACATAAATACAGGTTCTTATAAGCGGGTAAGTACTGTATCGACAATGTAAATGATGTTATGGTGGTGCAATTTCTTTTCCTCTGTCTCATGCATGCAATTTTCTGAGAAGTGGACATTTAAACCTTGCAACTTTATCGCAGGAAACAAATCAATAGCAATTTCCCATAAAAAGTTTTTGTTAAAACTTTGCCTATTTCATTTGAGTTTTGAACTTTTTTTGAGGCCATTTCTATGAGCTACGGTGCCAGCCAGAACCAAACAAACCAAATATATGCATATCATGCATCTGGAAATACAAGTACATGCATCAGGTCTCATGCGTGCATGGCTCTTAGTTGATGCACATTTGTTACAGTTCAAATTAAATTCACTGGTTAAATTATTTCCTTCATCTCCTAGCCCTAATTCTTGAATAATAAAGGCTAGGAGACAAATTAAGGAAATGTAGAATCAACCTGGGTTAAAAAATTTTAACTTGAATTTAATTTTAACTTATGACACATGTCTGCTCTGATATACGTCAATGCACATTTAGAGTCATTAGTATACATAAGCTATCTCTTTTTTAAGGTGTAATTTGTTTGCGAAAAGCCAACACGCATCAAACTTTTGGATCAGCAAATGTTAAAAGTACTTTGCACATGACATTAATAATAATATCGTAAAGTAAAACTTTTGTTTGCCATAGATACACTGTACAAGGTTATGTCAGACAGTTTCATTAGGATAACTCTTTCTGTTTTAATTTGTAGGGCCAAGTTAGCTAGAGATGCGCTGTGTCTCCTTTTCTTATCTTCAAAGGGCTTCCTGGCTCTACACCCTAAAGCGTTCCCTTTCAGTTTATTGCTGTAGACCAGATAGACTTCCATGGGTCCCTACACAAGGCAGTGCATGCCAAGCTAGCTTAACAAGGTCCCTTAGAATGTATGCTCCCATTAGATGCCTAGGTTAGTTTTTTTCATATCATTATTTTCTTGAATTCTTTAAATAATATTAATAAGATAGAACTTGAAACTTTCACTTGCATGAAGAATAAGCATCATTAAATTTCATCAGGGTTGTCATTAAGATCCCGGGGCTGGGGATTTCCGCCAGCTACTTTCATAGGAAAGAAGAAGAAAAATAGAACCAAAAGAAATCTCTAGCTGTTTGATTCCCCACCTAGACTTGTTGTATTTACCCAGAGACTTGAGATCTTAGTGACATCCCTGTTAATTTAGGTCTTGTTTTTATTACATTTAGAAACGACATGGCTACTAACACTTCTCTCTTGTAACAGCTGATGGGCCTTTGATGTACACCTCAGAAAAGGAGGGAAATGATGAAACTGGTGATGGTTCTTTACAGAAACCTTTCAAAACAGTAATGCAGGTATTGTAATACTGAAATGATAAACAAAATTGGTTGCTAGCCCTGTTTTTCATCAGAGACAATGAGAATCTACCTTATTGGTGCCTTATTTCGCGGATACTTAATTTTGCAACTTTGGCGACTGTGGAGACAGTATTTCATGGTTTATTTTCGGGATTTATACGTTCTCAACTTCATTTTCTTTTTTTAAAAAGTCTGAACCTTTAAGAAAATTAGATAAACTGGAACAAGCAATGTGTGAAATCTTTGGAAACTAATCTTATTTCACAATGGAAGATACAAAATGGATCTTACCAGTAAAACTAGAAAGCAATTTGTGTTTGTCAAGACCTACCATTGCTATTACATTTAAATTGTTATTTGAATTCTCTATACGGGTATTAAATTCTGCATGCTTTTAATTTCACGAGGATTTATTTTTGCTGATCTTTAATTTTGCGATTTTCTCATAATCGCAAAAAACACGAATAATTAAAGACCCGCGAAATTAAGTACCAGTAAGGTAGGTTAACATGACAACAGGTTTGACAACACATTTTTACCAACAACTGGGTTTTACTGTAAAATTCGATAATAAGCCCCTCCGCCCCCAAACTGTAGAAAGGCAAAAACCCTCCGTCAAATCGCCCCTCGAATATGTTCCAGGGAAGTACCCTTACAAAGCAAAACAAAGAAAAAAAGTAAAATTTTTTCAACAATACTGATTTTAAACTGCTGCTTCCAAAAATAAGCCCTGGGTTTGAAAAACATCTTATTTTGTAATCTTTGTAAGGGGTTTTAGGAAGGCTTTTATACAGAGGGTCTTATAATCAAGGGGGCTTATATCTTGAATAGAAAACTTGCTTCAAAACAAGCTATGGTAGAGTTTGTTGATTTTTAAAAAAAAGTTTTCCATTTACTGGTCTTTAAATTACACCTCAAAAAATCATTACAAATCAAATCAAGAAAAGAAAAGCTAGAGGGGGGCTTATAATCAGATGATTTTTTGTTCACTATAGTCAATTAGATGGGCCTATAACAGCGTGCAAAGAAAGTCGTGTCCGACAGCCCAGGGCTAGTGGATTTTGCGATCGGGCTAGTGAATTTGTGCTTAACTTACCCGACGGGCAAGCGAAGATTTTTCGGAGAATTAAAATTACAAAAGTACTGGTTGTAAATACAGCATGAACCTCTATTTTAGTATGGACATTTTCCCAAGAGGTTAACTATTAATATGTAGTTTTTAGGATTGTGTTCAAAGAAAAATGTTTGTCTGTTATTTGGAAAAACATTACTTTTTTCATTCTGTACTAGTGTGTGACCAACTTATAGTTTTTTCGGTTATTTATTGCTTTTTTGTTAAATAACTACAGCTGATTGTAATGAATAAATGAAGCCAGTATTTTTTTTAACTTACAGTGTAATTAAGAAAGGAATAATTAATAATTATTTTTTCATTCTGCTCGTGACAATTTTTTTTCGGGCTGGTAAAAATGATTTTCGGGCCAGTAGATGTTAGTTACAGCTTGCCCGAAGCCAAGCTGTAAAATTAACTTTCTTTGCACCCTGCTATAACAAGGGGGGCTTATAAATTTGGGGGGTTTATAGGTGGCAGTTTTTGGTATTCATAGTGCCAAGTTTGGTGAAAAGAGGTTACATCAAGAGTATGCAGAAAGCATAGTATTAATTAAGGAATATGTTTTTGTGATTTTGTTTCATAGGCCTTACGTACCTCTGAAGGGAAGGAACCTTTACCTCAGATTATGGTGGATGGCAAAGATGAAGGAGAGGTACGATGGTGAATTTTCAAATTGTAACAGTTTTGAGTGGCAGTATTTGTCAAATTCAAGGTTCCAAAAGGCCTTTCTGTCGTAGGTTTTAGTTCACAAATGAATTTCAGGTTAAAATGGTTTCAACCCAGCTTGATTCTCAAGTTTCGCTGCTTCCTAACCATTATTATTCATGACTATGAGTAGTAATTGTTAGGGTTAAGAAGCCAAGGAACTTGAGAATCAACCTAAAGTGTAAGTTGATACCATTTTTACCTGAATTTCATAATTTGACCTACCAGTTTTACATAAACTATTAAAATAAATTTTAATTTAATGGCTGATTATGCATATTTGCCTCCCGTTAAAGCATATTATTCTCCCCCCACCCCACCCCTCCTACGTACATGTGTACATGTATGAGCAGTGTAAGGTGGTCAGTGTAGCACAGTAAATTATGCATCAACTCCAGCCATTTTTTCTTACATAATTTGTACATGTCAGTTGTGTCATATAATCATGATTATTATTTCAGAGATACGAAAAGCTTGCAAAGGCCCAGCTAAAGAAACTGAGCAAACTTTATGCTCAAGAGAAAAAGAAATCTGAAGACAGGGAGAAAAAGGAGGTTAGTGTAGATTAAACCAAGGTTGTGGACCTTTCTGTCTCTGATAATCAGTTTAGGAGAGGTGTGATGTAGTTCCAGCCTTTGGACAAATATCACAATGTTATGGCTTTGAGGTGAAACTTCTTTGATGTTACTTTTGAGTAGACATTAATTTTGTCACTAGAATTGCTTTTTTTACAAAATTAAATTTGGGGCTTTAAAATACAGGTAATCTGGAATCTTTTGCTCTTATAAGTAACATAAAGTACAATGGAAAATCCTAGATGGGTTATAGTCCATCACAAGGTTACCCCCAGCTGTATTTCGTTTAATTTTTCCTTGCTTATGTAACTTTTTTTTTGACCTTCGCCCACCTGCCCCCATAACTTTTCTAATGGTCCATCCCTTACTTTCAGATTATTATAGCCAACCATCGTGGGTGCTACATTTGGGTTGTTACTATTATGATTTATGCCCTAATTTCTTTTGTTTTGTTTTTTTTTAAGGCTGAAAAGGCTCAACAGAGGGAAAAGAATCTTGAAGAGGCTAAGAAAATTACAATAAAAGAAGACCCAAGTTTGCCCCCTGCCCAGAGAGTAAGTTCTTCACCGATCAGTATCTTTGGCCAGGTTGAAGTTGCCTGTTATTATTTTGTTCTAACTAGAAAATACAATGTAGATGTAATCTAGTGCATACTGATATAACTGACTCTTATACTGAATTCAAGGCAGGTCTTGATTCTCATTTGCGTTGTATCACAGATAGGAATAAAAGATTCAGTGACACATCGTGACCAGAGGGTAAAGGTGTTTGGCTGGGTGCACAGGCTTAGAAGACAAGGCAAAAATCTGATGTTTTTAGTTCTTAGAGATGGAAATGGTTTCCTTCAATGTGTTCTGTCAGATCAACTGGTAAGCATTCGCAATTTATTTTAACAGATCAGTAGCTTAAAATGGGCAGCGGGAATGGGAAAATGAACCATGAAATGATACATGAGATATGGGTGTTAAAATTTGAAATGTGTGATGATCGAAATCAGCGGAAGGTGGATAAAAGGTGGGAAATCAGACTTTTTCTTTTTACTAAACAGAATTTTGAAGATAATATATTATAACTGGGGCCCTTATAATACAATGCAAAATTAGTTATTAACATATGTACCTCAGATTTTTATTTAGCAAAAATTGCATAAGTCATGTTTACCTTTCTTTTTCAATTTTAAGTGCCAGACTTATGAAGGTGTAACACTATCTACCGAAGCATCTGTATGTCTTTATGGTGTCATCAAAGCACTTCCAGAAGGAAAAACAGTAAGCATTCTTGTTTTCTATTGTAGTTGTTTATGATAATGATGGTTACATTGGCTGTTTTGCTGTAAAAGAATAATATTATTGGTAGATACAATAAATGTTGAGGTGCATATAAAGGATATTACATGGCCGTGTGGAGATACAAACTTTCTCTTTGAGTGTTGAAAAATATTTCACGAGTGAGCGCAGCAAACACGCGAAAGCTCACCTGGTATTTCAAGTGGGGTTTATATAGTAAAATGAGGTAGTTATGTTTTAAATTCTGTCAAGAGATTAGAAGTCAGCTTTTTGCATTATAATTATGTTTTATTGTCCAGGCTCCAGGAGGACATGAAATGGCCGTGGACTACTGGGAACTAGTAGGAGAATCCCCTGCTGGTGGCGTTGACAATCTTGTGAATGAGGTTGGTTAATCTGAAAGCGATAAACTCTCTGTTGTGGCACACTGAAATATAACATAAACAGCCCCCTTCAATATCACCCTTTAAGCCTTAAGAGTGATCATGAGAATAAAAATAATTTCTCCATGTACATGTAATACCAGTGCTTCAAATTGACCACTCCAGAAAATGCCATAACATACATGTACCATAGTGCTCTTTGTTTGTCACCCCAAAATTTTGCATAAACATTGTCTTCAGTTTCTCTTGGGAGTTAAAATGGCCCCAAGAGGAACTGAAAACAATGCTTATGCAAAATTTTGGTGTTACAAACAAACAGCATTTCGGTCTGTTATGGTCTTTTCTGGAGTGGTCAACAGCAGAGGGATCACAAGGGTTTTATCGAACGTAAGATGACATTTTAACAACTTTTCTCCACTTTCCACTGTCTTTCTTTTAGTTTTCTTCTCAATTTCAGCTTCATTTGTGCTTTTTTTTTAGTTATAAGAACTGATTGTGTTATAACAAAACATTTTTTCTGCTCTTTTAAGGAATCTGCTATAGATACTCAGCTTGATAACCGGCACATCATGCTCAGGGGAGATACAGTAAGACGGTTTATGTTGCATTTAAATCTTATACTGCTCAAAAACTAGTATTTTAATTGACCCTAGGAATTATAATAACAACCTGAGTATTGGTTAAAATGCATTAGTACACTTATTGTACAACTGTAGGTAAAAAAAAAACAAGAATTAAATGGAAATGGCTCCAACTACAGAATTATGTGCAGATCTTTCAGTTACTGCACTGGCCTGAATGCTGTGACTAAAATTTTGTACAAAAAACTGAGCAAGCAAGAAGCTAAGCCAAAATATTATGTTTTAATGTATTTGCCTGGTCAGAGGCAAGTAATATTATCAGCTCTTTTTACTACCTATCATAGAATTTTGATGATGTGGGGTATTTGTCAAGTTACATGTACCTGTAGTTCCCCATAATTAATTGTGCAACACAACTCCACTTGTACTTCACTGCAGCTGTGACTTAATTTTCATTAACACTTGGTGGTAATTTATTCTAGATTTCAAGAATCCTGAGAATGCGATCTACTGTTACTCAGTGGTTAGTTGTCTTGCTCTTACAAAAATAAATACTCATTTTGATATTGTTGATCTACCTTATCCCAAAAATATATTACTTGTCTGACTCGCGTGAAAATGAAAATGTGTAGCACCAAAGATCAGTAGCATGACAACTTTATCTGTAGCTTAAAAATGAAACTTGTGTTGCACATTATTTTTTTTCAACCACGGAGCATACATGTACAGTATTTGAATTTATGAAATCTGGACAAAATATATCATTATATTCCTAGACTTTCACTCAACTAAACAGGGACCTCCATTGGTTGATTCTTGGTCACATGACCTTGACTAAAATCAAATCTCTGACTGCATTTTCCTCTTTTCTTTTTCATTCTTTTATTGACTTTTAGTTTTAGAGACCATTATTTTGATCACAGTTATGTTGAGGTAAGAAATTACATTACATTTAACTCTTGCCTTGCAATACCCCTGCAGCTCATAGAGAAACCTTAATGATATGGACAGTAGCCAAATTCCCAGCAAAAATAATGATTCACCATTTTTTGACTAAAATAAATTCCAGCTATTCCAGAATTCGAATCTCCTTACTGAGGACACTAACTCATATATGGTCCTGAAAGCATTGGCAGTAATAGGAGTTTGACTGTAACAATATTGTGACTTTTAATTAAATACCATAAATGATCTAAAGACTAATGTAAACCCTCTCATAGATGAACGTCTCTTCTGCATGACACTTGCTCCAAAATGCTAGCTAGGAAATAGTAAAATAAAGGAAAATCATTCAATTTATTTAGATTCTCCCTTGATTAACAAGATTTTGTGCATTGCTTCTTGTTCACTGTCAAGTTCAAATTAAAGATTCAGACATCGAAGTTGAGATTAAAAAAAAGGCTTGGCGCACGCTACTGGTGTACACGAGCGTAACACCGTGCCTTACGCACGATTCGCGCTCAAGAAAAGGCACGGTTTTTGTGCCAAAGCACGGGAAAAAAACATGCAAAGGCACAGATTAGGCACACTTTAGGCACAGTTAAGGCACGTTTTAAATATTGCTAAGGCACACTTTAGGCACAGTTTGGGCACAGTTTTGGCACGGTTTAGGCACGGTTTGGGCACAAATATTCAACGCTGGGCACTTTTTTGAAAATCTTTGTAACCCGACTTGCAAAAAAGAACAAACTTGGTACGAATTACAAAAATAATTCAGATCAAACACGATACAGTTAGAAGTATAGGAACTGTAAGTTTTGAGCCGCGCCGAAAGTCTGGAAAATTAAAGTATTCTTCGACAGTCCGTGTTTACTCCGAGGATAAAGTGGAAATTCACACGCGATATATGCGGTCTGAACCTTTTCGATTGCCATGCAATTTTATAGACTCGCTTTCTTTCGTTTCTAAAAGCTAAAGAAGTGAGGCACAAAAATATAGCCAATAAAACCCGTAGAAAATACTTTTTGCGATCGCGGTAAAATTGGCCTGAATTTGCATAACAACATGAAAAGTACAGAGTGGTAATTTGAAACCTTCATGCCAACGCGTGTTATTTTGAAGTACAAAATGCGGCTGCTTTTTAAAAATATTTCTCTAACTAAAAAAGTAGGATTTACACTGTAGTAAAATAATTCAAGCTGCTTGTTTGTTTTTGTTTTCTGGCTCTGTTAGCAAATTAAGCTTTGATCGTATAATAATCGATGAGACGTGCCATTTATTTCATCAAAACTCATCGGCGTGCAATCAATTTTTTCGTTTTCATTTTATAAGTCATATCACAAGTAAATTCTTTTTTTGAATGCAAATCTGCCCTCCTGAAAAAAACAAATATTTCGTTCCAACTAAACGCTCCATTAAGAAGGGGAGAAGAAACCTACTTGGAAATTTTTTAACATCGATGAAATTAGCATAATATCAACAATGTAATATTTTTGCATGCTGAGCACTTACTTTAAATACGCTAACCTGTTTAAGATTCCATTTTCCTGTTTGTCGGGGCTTTCCCTGCTGTCTCTAATCGTATTCTGAGTCATGTTATTTCTTATTAGGGGATAAAAAGGTCGTCAGACCGTGTTTCTAGACTTCGTAAACCTCAAAACTGACATAATTGCCGTGCGCCCTTTTCGTTCGCTATGGAGCTCGATAGGCTGGACACGATTTTCCGAGTGACTCAATATTTTGGCACAACTTGTGCACAGATTAGGCACAGTTTGGGCACAACTTAGGCATGGCTTAGGCACGTTTTTCAAAACTAAAATGCACACTTTATGCACATCTTAGGCACATTCTAGGCACAAAATCTTTATGCCAAAGCACACTCTAGAATCCGATTTTCGGTCCAACGCACGGTTTACTTAATTTTCACGTTAAAAAATGCTGTCTAACCTTACATATTTGATCTTAGCGTAAAAATGGGTTTCCAATTCTTAACAGTTAGTCTATAAGGAAAATTTAACTTATGAGCATTCAAAAATTATTATTTCTTCTCTTAACAACAACAGAAAGTCAATGAAAAGCAATCTTTTAAATTGACGTTCGCGCTGCACAGAGATCGTATGTAGACAGAACATCTTTCTGAAAACGCCCTAAACTTTGTTGTTTTGCCATTATGTTCAGTAATTTTTAATACAGTTAGTACTCATAAGTCACTGACCTCTTCGGAGAAATTTTTCCAAAGTACCATTAACAGAAACAGAGAAATCCACAATATGCGTGGTTAGACTGTAAATGTTACGCGAGCTGTTAAAAAATGGTCCCATTTTGAGCCATATTTTTCATATTTCAATTTTATTTTGGTCTTACAGCCAGGAAAAAAATACTCAATGAAAAGCTGTTTATAAACTTTAACTTCTTGCCAAATATCGATGCGATCTGAGTTTTAATAAGTTCATAAGAGCCAAACGATGTGAGATTCTTAGCCGTGTACACCAGTAGCGTGCGCCAGGCCAAAAAATAATGAATCTTAAATGACATAGCGGTATCAATGGATGGAGTGGTTAGTCTGCTATTTATATACTGTGGTTTTCACCTAAAGTATTATATTACAGTTTTGTTGAATTTGTTACAATTATGAGAATAAATTCCTCTCTCTTTTGCGTGTATAAACTCATCTTATCTATTTAACTCCCTTGCTCGGGCTTCTAAAATTAAATAGATGCCTGGGGCATTTATTTGAGCATTTATGATATTATTAAAGTTACTACAGTAAACTGGTGGTGAGAGAAAATTTCTCATACACTTATATCTTAAAATTCTTGCTGGAGTCAACTCTGCGCTGTCTGCAGAGCCATTTATCATTATTTTTCTTAATGCACTGTTTTATTCATTCACAGGTCACTCCACCCACAATGGTCCAAACACAAGTTGAAGGAGGTTCTACTCTCTTTGAATTTAACTATTTTGGTGAAAAAGTAAGTGTTCATTTTTTTTTTTTTTTTGATAAAGTAAGTACAGTTTTATGGAAGCGGTGTAAGTTGCTAATCCTCTCTGGGGTACATGTACCAACATCTCACTTCTAAGAAGCTTGTGAGTGCAATGAGTATGTTCATGAAAGGTATCTTTGTAGCAAAGTGGAGATTCATATGGCTAACCCTCTTTGTAATTTTGCAGTTTTTGAATTTCAGTTTTACATGTACGTGTTTGTTATTCTTGTTGTTGTTGTTAGTTTTAGTGTTGTTTTTAATTTACTGGTACTGACATTTTGTTAAGTTTCCAATAATCATTACAACCATTGTGACTGTATTATTCTTTATGAAGGCCTACTTGACGCAGTCCTCCCAGCTGTACCTGGAAACACTCTTGCCATCACTGGGTGATGTATTCTGTATAGCACAGTCATACAGGGCAGAGCAGTCACGCACTAGGAGACATCTATCAGAGTATGTCTGTTGTCCTTACTTTACTGAAGCCTGCACGAAAGGCATCCAAGGGTTATGGGAGGAGGGGAAAGGGATAGGGGATTAGGGAGAGAGGAAAAAGCTCCCTTTCTCTTTTCCCTTTTGCATTTCTTCTTTTTTATTTCTCTCCCCTGGCACCCCCCTCTCCTTTTTAAGCCTGCCACTCAGGCTAACTTTTCTGCCACAACAGCTCCAAAGTAAGCCGATGACTTTCCTATATGGAGTGGTTCTACATTCATCAATGAAATATATTTATACATGTGTAATATGGATGAAAAGTGAAAGTACAAGTTGGTATATGATATCAAAAGCTATAATTCAAACAAACAAACAAAAGCACAATCAAACAAATGCAATCTAATCTAGATTCGGCCTTAGTTTTAAATAATTTAAAAACTTTTCTCGCAAATGTTTTAACATTAGTCTTAAGTTTGATGTCATTTGGCAGACTGTAGAATAACTTGGAGGCTGGATCTCGAAAAGTTCCTGTTTCAGGAGACATGACCAGTTGCAATATAGCTTTTGCATGTAGATTCCTGGTAGTTTGACATCTCTCCATAGTTAAATAGCTCGGCCAGTCGAGTATCATATAGGGCTGTATGGGTTGTCCTTAATAGATGAAATTGGTTTCTCTCCTTAACAGGGAGCCATCCAAACACAATAGCATCAGCCATTTTTGTGTAACGGTTGATAACAAAACTTGCAACGCATCTTTGAACTGGCTTAATTTTGCTTCAAGGTATTGCGGTAGTGGATACAATACAGGATTCTGTGTTTTTTCCTGATTTCAGATATACTCATGTAGAAGCAGAATGCCCCTTCATTTCATTTGATGATCTCCTAGACAGGATAGAAGACTTGGTACAAATTTTTATTTATTTACTGTTTTTATTATTATTTTTTCCTTTTGAGTTTTCCACCTTAATTACTGGTCTGTGGCTTTTATTTCCTGTCCAATGAATAATGCGTAATTATGGTTGCGCTGATCAAAGCTTTGTTTAATAAAATTATGATAGAGAATGAGGTTTTATCAACTAACTTAAGCAAGGCTCAAAGCTTCCGTTATAGAAACCATGATATAAACCGAGTTAATAGCGCCAAACTTATATTATGTTTTTCTTCCCCTCAGACTAAGCCCTATATTTCCCATAGAAATAAACGTTCAAAGTATACCCCTTTATCCATTTTTTTTTTCCATTCCAGGTTTGCGACGTTGTTGATAGAGTTCTGAAGTCTCCCCATGCAGAAATACTCAAGGAACTGAATCCGGTGTGTAATACCCAGGGCTTATTATTATGTTTAGAGTGTAATTATTTGTCTTAAATTTATCACAAGCAAAATAAAGGAAAAGATGGTGGCTCACATTTATCTTATACATCTACTATATACCTTCGTTAAGTTTTAAATAATCATTTTAGATGTACATCAGCTACACCCATCTCTGGTAAAAGTGGCCAAGTTTTCGTTAATTTTACGTTACTCAAACTGCAACCTCCTTAGAAAGTAAGAGAAAGTAAAGTTGGTAGAGGGTTGGGGTGTTACAATTCTCCATTGAACCTTAGCTTGGTAAATACAGTTTCTTCTTGTCGCTCCAATTTTGGCCCAGCAGTTGCTGATTATCTTGTCGGTAAAATCTAAAACTTATTTAATACATACTTTGATAATTAGGTTATACTATGATATAAGTCTGTAGTACTCTTAATTGTCCGGCCAGCTGGAACATCGAAAAAATTTTCCATCTTTGTTGTTAACTTAACTTTTCTTTGTTGCCAAATAAAGTGCTGTTGGTAATGACTTTACCTCTAAAAAATTTCCTGTAATTTGGTACAAATTTCGAGTTGTCGATTCACTATTATGATAATTTATGTATTTTTCCATCATTATAAACTGTCTTTTAGAATTTCAAGCCTCCAAAGAGACCTTTCAAGTAAGTTCATCGAGTGCTGTCAATTGAATATCCAGGTTTCTTTGTACTCGGAGTTCTCAGAGAACTCACTTCACAGCCACCATTTATTTTATTTTGTCGCAGGAGAATGAACTATTCTGATGCTATCGTGTACTTGAAGGAGCACAACATCAAAAAAGACGATGGAACGTTCTATGAATTTGGAGAGGTATGATGTAATGTTACATTGACCACGTCTTAGTTCTTACCACACATGTCAAATACAGATATGTCTTCAGATTTCGTGTGTTGCGACTGCACTCTCTCCATTAAATGGAAAATTCTCCGTGTCAACGAATTAATATTAAAATTTAAGAAAGAAACTTTAGATTCCAATTCGGTATGAACAAATAATTGTAATGCAAATTTTTTAAAAAAATTGCTGCTTACCACCATTTTGAATTTTGACCACATATTTTGTTACCATGGCAGCATGCAGGAAATTCAAAATGGGGAAAATAGCCAAAATTTTTATCTGCTACATTAAAATTTTGTTTCAATTTTAATATACAAAATACAACTACAGTGAAACCTGTATTAAGTGGACACCGTATTAAGCGGACACCCTCTATTAAGCGGACAGTAGCCGAAGTCCCCAAATTTATTTCCCTTATTTACTTTAAATGAAACCTTTATTAAGCGGACACCTCTATTAAGCGGACGCGGACACCTAAAAAGTACCTAAAAAGGGCCATTTCTATTGTTGCCAACCTGTATTAAACGGACACTTGTAATTAAATTCCACCACCCAACATGCCAGACACCGGAAATGCGAAAGATTGCCTCGAATAGCCACCCACAAATTTTTCGATTTTTACATTGAAAAACGTGACTTGACGAACTTATTTGATTAGTTTTCACAGTACAGGATTGTTTTCTATTTCGTTTTGTTTGTATAGAGCTTGTTTCACTCATCTGATTTCTTCAAATTTGAGTTGCAATCCATGTTTATGGTACTATAGTCAATTGGTTCACTTTGATAAAGAAATTAATGCAAACGTCTATCGTCATAGTCTCTGGGAGTATTATAAACGCTTCCACTATTCATTTGAATGGCATTTGACACCTCATATGACGTTATATATCGAAACCTGTATTAGGCGGACACCCTGTATTAAGCGGACACTACAGCATTCCCCGAGGGTGTCCGCTTAATACAGGTTTCACTGTAGTCTTCAGTAAAAGGATTCCCAATCTTAATTTTCACCTGTTGTTGTTGTTATTGTTAAGGGAGGGGGCAAAATCAAATTAGAACAAAATTAATGTCAATACTCTATTTTTGTCTGCTGATTTTGGACTCTTCTTTTTCTCTTGCAGGACATTCCTGAGATGCCTGAGCGAAAAATGACAGATCAAATCAACGAGGTACTCGAACTTGGGTTTCTCAATACGTCATTTTAATAGGCTTGCTTATTGATCCTTGATTATATTATTTTTCATAACCTAGCCAATCCTGCTGTGTCGTTTCCCTACGGAAATTAAGTCCTTCTACATGTTCAGATGTCCAGAAGATAAGCGTGTCACGGAATCGGTAAGTACATAACCCCCCATGCTATGATCGTCATCAAAAGTGTTGGGAAGGCTGCTACTTTTTTCTCTTTTTTGCTTCTTCCCCTCACCCCTGGCCCAATGTCGTGTGCGTAATTGTCAACTCCTGATAACTCGAACCTTCTAGGGAAATCGAAAAGGTTATCGAGAGTTCAAAGCAAATAAGCAAATGGATGGGGTGGGGGGGTTCATGAAAGTGTCATGCACACTTCACTTCAGGGGCAGCGAGAGATTAATGATTAATATTTTTGAAAAGGAGTTAAGAAACAAATCTTGATTAATGTACAGATATGGACAGGAATTTGATATGCAGTAACAAAAAAGTGAAGACAAAGAATTGACGCGGTTGTTTTGGAATAAATTCAATGTTTCGGAGTTCTGTACAATGTTTTATTCTCCGACTTGTTACCACCTTAACACATGGTTCGAGTCACCAAGGGTAAAGTTATATAAAAATGATCTGAAGGGAAACAGAAAGTACTTCGAGTTTGCGGGAGCTTCGAGTTAGCGAGGGTTCGAGTTACCTTGGGTAAAATTATAGTAAATGTATGAAGGAAATCCAAGGGAAGTCGACTTTGGTTCGAGGTAGCTCGAGGTTCGAGTTATCGGGAGTCGACTGTACTGTTAAGTTGTACAACCTTCCCAACTACTTTTGTCGTGGATTGTAGTTTGTAACTGAAGTTATGGCAGCCATCGCATAAAAGGGCTTCCTGACGAGAAGTGACTTCTTTAGCGCAGAAGATACAATGAAAACTTTCCATAACTAGTTGTCGACTGATCGTGAAGCTAAGTTGAATGAAATGAACAGAACTTGCAGCCCTTTATATACTGTAGTGCCCAGTAGCAGCGGATCAAAATCACAGCAATGTGATTGGTAGTCGATTAGATACGGCACCACTGATTTGTCGTTTTCCACTAAATAGGTGATAACTAACTCTAATTAAGATAACAATAGCGCGCGCGTGTTTCCTACGAGGTAAGCTGTATGAAACAAAACCCGCACCGAACCACACGCGTGTAAGCGAAGAGGACGAACAATTATCCTAAAGGACTAGGTTTAAATAAAGGAACTTCAAAATGGCGGTCTGTTTGTACCCAATCGACTTGTCTGTCCATTTGATTAAGAAATATACTTTAGCGGTTAATAAGCTGTGAGAGTTCACATCCAATAATTTACGCATACAACGAGTAAGTAATGTAGTATTCTGAATCGTGTAAATGTTTGTAACGTTAAATTTCAGACCCAATAATTTAGGCATAACGTTAGTATTCTGAACTGTACAGTCAAAACGTAGGTTGACATATCAATGTTTATAACGTTTGCGAATTGACTTCTAAACGATTGCGAACTGACTTCTACACGTTTGCGAACTGACCAGAGACGTTTGCGAAACGACCGTTAGCGAAACGACTCGTTGGCGAAACGACCGGTTTCCGAACAAAAGCCTTTTCCTTTGCTGGGAAGTAAACTCTTTCCATGCAAATTCTGCGAAAAAAATATATTGTTTTGCCACCTTATCGCGTGGTTGCAAACAAACCAAGATTGTTGAGAAATATGTTTAGTGTGTTGAATTTGCCAACGTTTCCAGAAAATGAGCAGAGGAGAAAGCACCTTGTAGTACGTAATTTATTGCCAGCACTTATCTCCAATCCTGGTCACTGAGTGCGGTCACATAACCAAAGGGAACTAAAAATGCTGATAGTGGATTTTCAAAAACTTTGCTGTATTAATAGAAAGATTAAGCTTGACGTAAACAGCAAACGTCAGATTCAGGTTGAGAATTTCTCAAAATAGAGCATGAGAAATAATGAACAGTGAACGACAAGTAAAGGGGAAACTTGGTCACGTGGTGCAAATTCGCGGTTACCGTTTGACCTAAACATGATGCTTAACCTCTCTAATACCCCTGGTGGTGGTTACTGCGAGCAGTCAATTAAGTCCCAAACTGAGAGGCGTTCTCCTTTGTATTGTAGCAACTAGAACAAACTCTAAAACGTTGATTCTCTGTTTCTAGGTCGATCTATTGATGCCTGGTGTTGGGGAGATTGTTGGTGGGTCAATGAGGATGTGGCATTATGTAAGTTTGTTGTTTCTTTAGCCAATATCTTGTTCATTGTCCATTTTAAAGTTTCATCTGAGACTCGATCCGTGTTGACAGTTGTACCCAATTACACTTCGAGACTTTTAACGGGGTTCGAATCTAGACCCAATTTCCTGGGCAGCCTTGTAATTCCCACTTTCGCATTCCCCATAATACTAACTTTTTTGGTAAAAAAAGGGAAAATGAAACTTTCCAGGGTGTCTTTTTTTTAGAACACGCATAAAAAACTTTAAGTTAAATCTCGTACTCCTACTCGTTCTCGTCCTCAAATCTGAAGCTCTCTAATATTCTAAAGTACTACAGTGAAACCCAGTCTTACAACCAGGCTTTTGCACCTATCAATGTAAAGCTTGCGGGGGGGGGGGGGGGGTATGGGGGGGATTTGATTGTCTTTGTTGATCTATTCTTGTTCTTCCTGGGGAGGATATATTTCAATCTTTCTTCGCCCGAAGTGCTCTGGGATCAATTGAACGTTTCAAGATCTTTTATTGCGGTATCAAAGTAACCGGAAGCTTTATTTTCAAAACGGAAAACTCCTCCAGGTTGAAAACCAGCAGGGAGGGTTAATTTTCAAGAGACCTTTGACCTGAGAAAGATAAAACATTTACGATTTTGGATCTGTTTTATTTTCGTGACCATGTTTGTAGATAATGTCAGTAATCAAGAACAATGCGTTAAGACTTTTAAAAATAAATTTTATTTGGTACCATTCACAAAAGAACCTAACGTCACATTTTTATACATGATCTTATAAATCCATGGGACATAAGGTTAATGCTTAAGTTTTTTAAATGAACACAATGCTGTACGAGACTTAAATTTTTTGATACTTTTGTCGCATTTCAATAAAAGATTTCAGTTATTGCTTAGTGCGGAGGTAGGGAAATTTTTGTTCCTTTGACTGGAATAATTTGCCCGTGGGCGTAGATTGTCAAGTCCTCCAGCCCTTTTCTTTTCGAAAGGGTGCTAATTCTCATCTCTTCAACTATGTTTTGCGCTATTGCTATTTCAGGATGAGTTGATGCAAGGATACGAACGAGAAGGAATCGATCCAACGCCTTACTATTGGTACACTGACCAGGTATGTTACGAACCTACGAATTTGTTAGATCAAGCAACCATTGTTCGTGTTTGTTACTTAAGGAAGTTATTGTGAGCGACCAGAGGAGCCCACAATCCTAATCTACAGGTTGCTTTTACGCATGAGCGGAACGTATGTAGTTGGCATTTGTTAAAGCATTTGGGCTTTGACTAAGAATGAATGGAGTGCATTGAACCCAATCTGATGAAGCGCGTTTGGACCTTCTATCACTCGTAATCTGATTACGGGCGTTTTGTTCTTCTATCACATGAAACTTTCGCAAAGCACACCACAGAAGTCGTGAGCGTTTTTACCTTCGATCTATCTCGCCTGCGCTCCATAAAGTTTGGTTTTTACTAACAGTAAGCCAATTGTTTCTTCGCACTAGTAAGCCAATCAGAGCTAAGTAAATGCAAGCAGCGGGAGCTAGTTGCGGGAAAACGCACGCAACCTGGTCAGAATTGTTTTGGTTTCATCACGGATTGGTTACAGAGAAGTGCCATGTGATTTTCAGCCAATCTCAGAGTGCAACAATTCGATACCAAAACACTGTTAAACCATTCACAGTTAACTTGTTTTCCCGCGTGCGATTGGTGACGTCTATTTCCGGGGCCTATTTCCCTTTCGTAAACGGTCTTTACCATTTTTTACGGACGATGCCACCCCTGTTACCTAACGACGACGGCGACGAGAACGGCATAAAATCAATAGGTTAAGATTGGCAAAACAACAACTTTGCACGTGCATCGTGCATTTTTGGTACACTTCTTTGCCGTCATTGCACGCCGACGTGATAATGCCTAATTTCACGTTTGTGGAGGACGTGAACACAAGGCGACGACTTTCGTTCGGCCACTCGCTTGGGACCTCTCCTCCAAACGGTAAATCCTAGATTAGCCTGCGTAGCAGGCGCTTGGAAGTAGTGGACACAAGAAAAAACAGGCGCGCGAGAAGGAGCCGACACGCGTGTCTCCCTCGCGCGCGCCCGTTCTCTCTTTCGCCCACTACTTCCAAGCGCCTGCTACGCAGGGTAATCCTCGATAGACCCTGTAAACCTATTGCTGTTTTGCCGTTCTCGTTTCTTAAGCTCCCTATTTCGAGGGGAAACTAGTGGTGCGGTCCTGAAATGCCGGGTGTTTTCTCTTTAACTTTTATTTTCTCAGCAAGGGTAACAGTCGCTCTTTTTTTTGCAGAGAAAGTATGGTTCTTGTCCCCACGGAGGTTATGGACTGGGACTGGAGAGATTCTTGACTTGGTTACTAAACAGGGATCACATCAGAGACGTGTGTCTTTACCCACGATTTACCGGAAGATGTCGACCATAAAAATAAAAACACACTGGAGTCGATTTAATTTACATTACCCACAATAAAATGCAGTATGGAACCAGCCAATAAAATTCTAGCTATAGAATTTATATTAACTTAGAGTTATTTCGTAAGGGCAGTTCTTAGAACTACGCCAGGAAATTAAACAGTTGTATTTCCTACTACCCTTATTGAAATCTTCAGGACCCGGTTACTTGAAAGATGATTAAGCTTAACCCCGGATAGGACGAATTATCAGCAAAGTTTCCTTGTGCAGAAACCTGAGATTATAAAATACCACTGAGCCTTGTATTACAAGATCCAGTTTTGTCGAAATAATATGATACTATAATAGTGGAGTAAAGTTTTAATCCTGGGTTTCCGCTGATCGGTCTTTCAGGACCTGGGTCCCAGCCTTCTGTCCAAACAGACGGTAAATAAATGCTTTTTATACTCTTTTTGATGTCTAGTTCAAGGACAAAAATCAAGGACGAATTTTGCACCTGTTTTCAAGCAAAGTCATACAAAAGCTAATTATCAACAGTCTACTTTGCTCAGTGTTTTTACGAAAACGAACTTTACTCAAAAATTTGCCAAAATTATTTTGAACGATATGAAAAGACAGTCAACATTTTCTGGAAGATTTGAATCGGAAATCTTAGTCTAACCAGCGGCCATGACACCGACTTGGAAGCGAGCACACAGCAGTAATGTCCGTGCGCTCCACGTAAAACTAAAAATTGGTCGTTCAGGTATTTTTGGCATACACATTGTCGTGTAACGCACTTGTCTTTCAGGGTCCATGACAAACTTGGATTCGTCATTAAAATGAAAGTTTCGTTTTAGTAGTATCTTGTAGTCCCGAGACGCTTGTATTTCTAGTATAAACTTTCTTCAAATGAAATAAAATTGCAACTGTTCCATCTAAAGGAAGTGCAGTCGTGTTTTTATTCCATTTCTGTCAATGATTTTTAGGCTGTTCAGTCCTCGAGGTCGACAAAGCGAGGGTTTGTGGACCTAAGTTTACATCGGAGACTCCTTGAATTTTATAACTTTATATGATATTTCATTTACCTTGATGTTAACACCCTTCTTTCGAAATCTACACAAACTTGAAACGATTGTGTTCAGGCAAACATTAAAATGGAAAAAATATTTTGTGGGAACAGAACTGAGCTGCTGGCAAGTTCTTAACGTATACATAATCCGTACAAGTAATGGTTTCTTTTACGCACAAACTAATAGCAACATCAAATAGGTGTTGGGACCAGTTGTTCAAAAGTCGGATAACCAACTGTCTTATCCACGGGGTAGAGATTAATCCACGGTTAGCATTATCCGGCACCCTTTGAGAAACTAGTCGGGCTTAACTGCGAACAGACATGCTTTTTGACATACTGTCTCAACCCATAGCCAGGAAAATAGGGAGCACATAGCGCCACAAGACAGCTGCCGAATGCGAAGGGACAGGTTCAGCACAGTCATAACATATATAACTAGAAATACGAGTAGTATCGCAGAACTTCACGAGCTCAGATTTAGGACCAAGAGTAAAAAATAAAAAAAGAAGCCAAGAGTGGAAAAAAAACGGTTCCTCCAGACATATGCATTGTATTTTTTATACATTGTATTATCTAAGTTTTGAAACTATTACACAGTAAATCTTATCAAAGTTGAATTTGTTGAAACTTTTTTGGGTCATTATTTTAATTGTTTTCTATTATTCTTCAGGCAATAAGTTCATAAAAAACTAATGGAACAAAAATAAACAAAATTATTCCATAACTAAAATATTATTTAAAGTCTCATGTATTAAGAGCCCTCCAATAATTATTTCTCAACTGTTACAATTTGATATTCAACCTGTCTGGTCATGACAGAGCTAACATCACAGAAAAAAATAGAAAACATATTAGGTTCCCATTAAAATTTATTATTACGGCCTATCCCCAATACCACCAGCTAAATCATAAACTTTCTGGCTGACAGCCAATGCCAAAGAATCAGCAGCTTCTCGCGTATCAGCCTCAGCATATACACGTACTATATCCTCAGTACCAGATGGTCGCACAAAGGATCTTGCATTCTTGTACCCAGAAACAAGCTTATCAATTTCATCTTGAAGACCCTGCGGGGCTGTAACCTTCCTTTCAGCATCTGTTGTTTCAATCACATTGCGATTCTTGATAGCGACTTTGCGTTGGCGGTTAGGGAGATCTGTGTACACAGCAGTCCAATCTTCCAAACTCCAGCCTTTTTCATGAAGGATGCTTTCCACTACCAGCATGTCACTCATAGCATCACCAACAGTTTGGTTGACTAAATCTATCAAGCTTAAGACTTGTTTGGCAGCTTTACACCTCTCTGTGCTGGCATCTGTGTCTTGGACAACAGCCTTCATCTTCCTCACAACATCGTTTGTAAACAATGCAGTTCCATGGCCATTTGCTTCAAAATATACCCCAATGTCAAATTCTTCAGCTTTGTGGTGAACGTGCTTCACACCTGTTTTGGTGCATGCCACAGGCACTCCAAGGGTGCTCTCAGCATAGGATGTGGAATTGCCATTGGCATAGGCTGTTTGGACAATTCCCAAGCCTCTATCAAGAACAACACCTGTTTTGTCCAGTTTTTCTTTCAAATATCCAACTACAAGGGTTGCAATTCTATCCCCATCAAGCAAGTGGAACTTGTGATCTTTATCGTAGTAAAAATACAACACTCTATCAGCATCACCATCGAATGTAACACATCGATCACCTGGGTTGATGTCCATGCCATCAGGAGCACACTGGTAAAGCTTCACATAATCAGCACCACACTTCTCATTTAACTTTCCACTTGAACCATCATTGCAAATTACAAGTGACAAAGTGCCCTTCAGTTGTTTGGCCAGCATCTTGACTTTGAGTGCTCCTACACCATTTGCACCGTCCAGCTTGACCACAGGGACACCTGTTTTCCCAGACAGTGACCTCAGATCCAGGAAGGCATTTGAGATTTTGTTAAAGTAACCTTCTTCTGTGGCTTCACCATATTCACCTTCAGTGTTTTGGCATCTGACCATGTAATGCAACTGAGGTGTGGATAAAACACCTGACACAAAAGGGTGATCAGTTAATATTGTGAATCACTATTACCCCTTAAAGTCCCAATCGTGACCATAATCAGTTTTCTCCTAATACCATCCATATAAACACAAAGGAAAAGCTCATGGGAATAAAATAAAATGATCAAATAGAGAAAATTGCTTTGATCTTTCATCAGATTCTCTTACTAATTCTTTGAGGAAATGTAGTGAAGGTCATAGTCTGGAGAGTTTGTATGATCATGATAAAATAGGGTATGTTCTGGATTATTGGAGTGATTTTACTTAACCCTTGAAATACATGGAGATCATAGACTAATACACAATATACACAATACACTCTAATTTCATTGTTTTCTTTAACTTACTCATTACTATTTGGCACTAATTGTCTTAATCGATAACTGTATTATTAGCAGTAAGTAGATGCCTGATTGTCAGCTGAATAAAGATGTCCACTTGGAAAGAAAGGTTTGAGCTGTATCAATGCAGAATTTTTTTCCCAGCCTTTACACTTTTAGTTTCACATATATTTTTTCACATTTGGAAACTAAGAACTCTGATGGATATTTATATTAATATTTTAATGCACGGCTCTTATGTAATGCATCTACAGTCAATTCCAGCTGCGCTTTACGTCACCAGTCAGTTACGCCATTCCTTAGCGGTGCACCCGCTCCCAAGAAAAATCCTGGATCCATCCTTGTATGATAAAAATCATTCAACCACCAAAACACCGCTAAAATTGTGGCCTGGTGTGAGGAATGCGTAAACCTTTTTAATTATACATGTTATAGTTCTCAGTTTAAAATTTACAAACCTTTAATATTACCAAAACCCGGCATTTTAATACCATAAAGAACGAATCAAATGCGGCCTGTTGCGAAATGCGATCAAAGCTCCTGATCTTGATATTTGTTTTGAAATTCTGGTTTTTAAGAGCAAGAAAATGTTGAAAATTAAGAAAAACATACCCTTAAAAAAGTCAAAAATTTTTCCTAGCCCTTCCTGGACAAGCCAATCTGCCACAAACTGATGATCTTTACCTCGGAAATTCTCCATGTTTTATAGCTAACCACTTGTGTGTCAAAGCCCCACCCCCGGGACTGACAAGGCGTGCAAATGCACCGCAGTTGCCCGGGGGAGGGGGGGAGGGGGAGCTCGCCGCAGCTGGAATTGCAATTGACTGATGCATAAACCAGCGCCAGAAGCTGATAAAAGCATCATGGTTAGATTAAGTGCCTATCGATCTATCTACTTTAGCTATGTCACTTGTATTTTCTCACGGAAGGATCACGTTGCTAGACTATTCATGCCTTATTATCAAAAGGGGCGGGGGAAGGGTGTGTTCTCTTTGCATGACAACAAGAAGCTCTCACCATAATCCCGACCAGATCCACCCAAAGCTTGTACTCCATCCAACAAAGCCTTCACAAATTCCACTCCGCTAGGTCTCGTGTCTCGAGCGATAAAAACCTTGGCAGGAACGTTCCAATCGATTCTGTGCTCTTCCACCACCCCCCTCAGAACCTCGACAATATCTTCCGCGTTTGCGAGCTCCGATGCGTGCTTCTCCCATGATGGCTGAAGCATTTCACCACGAGGATCCACCAGCTTGACTCCATTGTCGTGAACAGGGTTATGCGAAGCAGTAACAACCACGCCGATAACTTTTCCGTCTTTGGCCTTCGAGCGAAGAACAGCGAGAAGACCCATTCGGTACATTACAGAGTCGAGATGGTCTGTTCGCATGCGGAATCCAGCCGTTCCGTAGGAGAACGTAACATCAGGTTTTGGATGCTCCTTGCTTACCTCCGCCGCTCTTTGAAGAAGAGATTCCATGTTTTAAGTCGAATTCGGGAGCCAGAACCTACAAACTTTTAATTTTTCCAAAGCCACGTCGATTCTTCGTTTCCAGTCTTCCTTCAGCGATTGTACCTCTTCCGCGCACTACTCATCGCGCATATCTTTTACAATATGCCGCTGTCAAAATTATTTGTGACTGCTTATTCATCCTCTTCACTCTCTCTCGTTTAGGCCACAGTTGTGTTCTTCGACAAAGGTAATTCATCGTGTTGCATCTCAGTCATCCTCCAATATTTTCCAACATCAAGATACAAAATTTATTAAAATACCTTTTTTTCTCTTGACGTAAAGTTTTTTCTCCGCATTCCCCGAACTAGACGTTGTTTTCCCCCCTATATAACACTTGTATGTAATAAAATGTCGGCTTTATACATTATGGCCATTTTTAAGCTTGTTTGATGCTTATGAAACATACTAATGCTTGGACTGTTTGCAAACGCTGTGCTATCTTAGGAACCAAAAATGGCTCGCAACTTGGAAATGGCAGTGGGGCTCCACAAGGGCCACAAAACAACGAAGACAGTGCAAAAGCCCAAACCATCTAGGAGGAAAGGGGTGAGGAGGCTAGATTTAGTGATTGCAGCTTTTTTTAAATCCAAATCTTGATGTCTGATCTGCAAAGGGCAGTGCAGCCCATGTTCAGCAGATATGTATATGTGCTGTGCTCATGCTGTGTGCGCTAAAAAACAGTGCGGTGAATTTGTGCTGGTGATATGAAAATAAAAAATGTTCAAATGTTTAATGGGGCCTGGCCTGGGCCTTCCAAGGCAAGCGTAAAGGCCTTTGTGTTGTCGGGAAGGTTGTTCCATTGTTTAATGGACCTATCAGCTTCTTTAGTTTGAGTGACCATCGGAATAAGACCTAAAAGCACAAGGGAAAAAGCCGCTAGAGAAAGAAGCTATGTGTGCTATCCTGTCTGCAGAGTATGGCAGAACTCGACAAGATCTCACACATGCAAGTCCGTTTTAAGGCCCTTATTGCTTATATATTTTTAAAAAAACTTGTGCATGCACCTGCCATACTCTGCAGACTGGTTTGCTATTATTCCATCATATAAGATAGCATCATTCACTAAGTTCAGTTCAGTGTCCACAATAGACCCTTCCAGGGTTTTTACAAGATTTGGTGTGGATCATATGGCAAAGTCTGTAAACAGATTAGTTTAGTCAGTAGAGTTACTTGACCACAGAGCAGCAGGTTGTGGGATCAATTCCCAGGGCCGAACAAATACTCAGGGTCTCAAAATAACTGAGAAATGAAGGTACATGTACTGCCTTTGCCCTGCCAACAGCTAAACCTTCGCATGGCTTTGATGGTGATCCTGTCTGAGTCCCCAGTGGGAGACAGGATGTGCTAAATACATTGAAACTCGAATAAAGTAAAAAATTTTTAACGTCGCTGAAAAGAACGCCTTAACGTCAGTGAACTTGCTAAGTTTGAAAGTGATGTGTGTAAAGCAGGTGAACATATAGCTCCCTAAAGTCATTAACTTTACTGTCATTTAAATCGTGGGAGCAAGTTGGTGCTTCTACCATACCAGTCTCCATAAAATTTGGGGACTTTGCAGAGCTATGTCTGTGTTCCTTTTTTATCAAATCACACTCAAACGTGGCAATAATATTGTACTATATTTTAGGCTCTCTTTTCAGCAGTGTTGGCGGTTTCTGTAAACAGTCCATGTCAACAGTTTAAATCACATTGGAAGGGTCTATTGACCTCAGATGAGACATTTTCTGTCTTACATTATGAGAAGCAGGGATTTCAGATTTCTGGAACTAGTTCATTAAGAGTGCCTAGTGCCCAGAGGCTCTCCCATATTAATTCTTAAACACTAGTAAACTTACTCATAGATTGCTTATCACAATAAGTTGCCTGATCCGTAGAGGCTGGTCAGCAAATAAGGTCAGTGGGTATAGGATTCTGCTCACGGTTTTATGTCATTTTTGTGATATTTTTTGTTTTGCTTCTTTTTTTAGGCAAGTAACAAAAGGGTAAAATTTATCCGAGATCTTGTACGAGAGGTTGTTGGATTTGCACCTTATGAGAAACGTTGCATGGAATTGCTCAGAATTGGCAAGGACAAAAGAGCTTTGAAATTTGTTAAAAAGAGGGTAAGAGATCTTTCTCTCCAGTTCAGATCAGTACATTGTATATTGTTTGATTAGTTGTCCTTCACTAACCTTGTACCACAAGTGATTTATGCACGCAGGAAGACTTTGCTGATTTGATACCACCAAATTTTCCTCAAATAAAATAATAGGTTCCTACCACAATTATTGCAGGTGTATAGACCACTCATATAAGGGAATAGACTTATTTAGAATATACTAAAAAAACTTGGGATATCCTGTGCTATTCACCTCTGAGCAACAAGCAGTGCCAAACTTGCGTAAGTTAGGAGCAAAATGGCTTCCTGGTTTGTTACTGCAACAAACAAAGAAATTTCACAAATTTAACAAAGAAGATGTTCTCGAAAACACGAAGGAGGCGACAAAATTCAGTTTGGCAGTTTTTACAAGTAAAGCTTATTAATTGATGAAACTAGTAAAAGAGTTTTTGTTTGCAAAATTAATGTTGTGTTACTTTATTCAGCTGACATGTTCAAAAATAGGCTTAAATTGAATTTAAAGGTTTTTATTACAGAATGGTTTCAAACACAGAAAGTATTCACAACTGGTGTTGAATAAATCTCCTTGCAAGAGCTAAACAAATGCCTTCAAAGGCTTTATTTGTCGGCAAGAAAATGTGAAGGCCATTTAGCCAAGTGCACACCAAAATTATTGTAATCTTTGTTAGTAATAAATGTGTTAAAAATTATCAACATTTTTGGGCTCAGTTACCTCACTGTTTCAGTGTATTCTAAAACAATTATTCACATCAGTGCCGGTGGCTAGTGGTGGATAATTTACCTTGAGCCAACTCCGTTTCAGTGAATAACTGTTATTTAAAATCCAGTGAACTTGTAGGCACTTTTGTCACTGAAAGAAAAAATGCTTTTAGGCAAGTGTGATAAGGGTGGTAAAAGAGTTCAAACCAGTATTTTATTACCAGAGGAAGCTAATTGGATGCATGTTAATTTTTAGCTTGGAGGTCACACCCGTGGAAAGAGAAAGCGGGAAGAAATGCAAAGTGTTATTGCTGCCATGAGGAAGCAACAACAACATTAACATTTACACCACTGTTGAAAATAAAGCCCATTTTCTCGGATACTTTTTCCGTTAATATTTTCTGTGTTTGGGGGTGTGGGTCTTAGTTGTAGATCATTCATCCTGCTTAGTTCCAGGTCATTTCACCTTGAAAGCACTTTGCCCCACATAAGGAAATCCAAGACAGTCTTGGATTCTACACCGTGGATTCTGGATTACAGGTTGTGGATTCTCTGTCAGTGGACCTTGGATCCCAGATTCCAATGCAGTCGACTCCCGATAACTCGAACCTTCAAGGGAAATTGAAAATAAGGTTGGAGTTATGGGCATTTCGAAGCAAATAGCCAGAAATGGGGTGGACAGTGGGTGCAAGTAACATGAACACTTCAAAGTCTGATATATACACAGTGTTGGACACTGTATTTAACCCTTTAAGCCCTAAGAGTGATCAGCATCAAATTTCTTTTTGTAATAGCAATGCTTGTAAAACAGAGTGGTCGTGAGAATTACGGACATGTTCACATGAGAAGAATTTGCTTGATATTTTATCAACTTCTCCCCACTACTTCTGTAGGAAATGAATAGGGGCAACAAATGAGAATTCAAATTTTGATCCCAGGGTTTAAAGGGTTAAATTGAACTGAAAAAATTAAAGACAAAGACTACGTGTCTTGTCAGGCGCTTGAAGCATGGTTCGAGTTATTGAAGGCAAATGTGTATAGGTAATAGCATGATTTGTAGTGATGTTTGACATAAATACCACGAGTGATATTTTGAAATTGTTTTACGTAATTTCACGAGCCTTTAGGCGAGTTAAATTGTAGACAATTTTGAAATATCACGAGTGGTATCTATGCCAAATATCACGTACAAATTATGTTATTGTTTGTGTATACTACTACCCGCAAAGGGTTTGTAATTTTCAATGGAGGTATTTCAAAATAAGCTGAAATACCACTGCTCTAAGCCAATCAAATTGCAGAAATTTCCCATGTAGTCGTATAAATATAGAAATCATCTGAAGGGAAACAAAAATTACCTCCGAGTTAGCGGGAGGGTTGAGTTATCGAGAGTGAAATTATTGTAAGTGTATGAAGGAAATCGTTCGTTCGAGTTATCGTGAGGTTCCAGTTGGTGAGGGTTCAAGTTATCAGGAGTCAACTGTAGTTAGTGGGATTCCAGATTCCTTGAGCTGTATCCCGGACTCCAAAGCTGATGATTCTAGATTTCACAACTCAAATGGATTCCAGTGAGATTCTTTAATCAAAACAAAAATGTACTTGAAATTGTACATTAATTCCTTCATTTTGTGTTTTGGTATGGAGGTTCATTGTGTAAAATGGTATTTGAAATGGGCTTAAACAGGCTGTACGTGTCATGATGTCCAAGCTACTGTACAGCCTGAATAATCAGTGGTACATGGTCAGTTGTTTCCTTTGCCATCCTTGAACCCAAATCTCGAAATTTTGCTTTCTACGCTTGCCAGAACTTTCGCAGCTGGTATTTTGTATCTGAAACAGAAAACCGCAAGTGTTCGGTCAGCCATTTTAATTCATTTCATGATGACAATGGAACGATACTTTCCAGCCTTTTTTGCCTGCCAAAACATCAGTTTCGCCTCGCTCTTCGTCCTCCGCGCGAAACGTCCCCAGCGGCGAAGAGCGAGGCCGTGAAACAGGTGTTTTCGCGGGCTACAGCCTTTTGTACAAACCGACCAGCGTGTACAATCGCCGGAGGTGGTCTCGTATGAACCGTTCATCGTCATCATCAGGGTTTGTCTGGTTTGTATTGACTCTTGACAGAGGAACTCCTCCCTGGATTGATCCCACAGGTGTCTGCAGTGCTTGGCTAATCTTAACCCTACAGGTCCAAACTGTCCTGTGAGATCGTTTCTCCATCTTGTTTTTGGGCGACCCTGTTTGCTGGTCCATTCTTTAGGGGTCCACTCTGTTGCTCTGATGGTCCAACGGTTATCAGATAGCCGGGCAATGTGACCTGCCCATCAGGGGCGGATCTAGGGTGCAGGGGTGCCCCCCCCCCTTCCCCGAGATGACCTGCGGTTTTCTAATACAACTGGTATTCTGCGAAAAAAAAGAAAACTATGTGGTTTATTGGTGTTGACGTAGAGCAAGAGACGAGTGCACCCCCTCCTAAAAAAAATCCTGGATCCACCCCTGCCCATCTATGCTTTGCTTTCCTGATAGCGTTGATGATATCGCTTGCGCCAGTTTCTTGACGAATCCAGGTGTTTCGCTTTCGATCTCGAAGGAGAATGCCTAACATTATGCGTTCCATCTTAAGCTGTGCGACCGCACGCTTAAACGTTCAACCACACTGAAAGGTTTCTAACCGAACTTTCCAGAAATGTTAAAAATCTAGTCTGTAAATATGCACTCCGATTTCAGAAATGCCTTCATTTGTCAAGGATTATTATGTCAAGGTCATAAATTAATTTAGCACTATTTAAACAGTTTAGGAAGACTTTTTATATTTATACAATAAAAGAAATATACTTTTATCAATATTTGCGATCCACAGATCAGAATTCCCAGGGTCACTTTCCATTTATGGAAAAACTGCTCTTCATATTTTAATTCATTTCATGAAGGAAATGGAACGATACTTTTCGGCCTATTGCACAAAACCGACCAACGCGGACTACCTCGGAAGGCGGTCTCGTATGAAACGTTCATACCAAACCGGAATGTTTCTAACCGAAATTTTCAGAATTTTAAAAAGTATAGTCAGTGCACTTGAGATAATCACCCGTCACACTTTATCTTAGTCGTTGAAGTGTCCCTCACTATATTGCTACTGATCAGTAGCAGAGAAACAACATGAACCGCTTAAAAGAAAAATAAGTACATGTCAACTGGCCACAGGTGTAAGGTGAAAGACAACTCCGTGCCTGAGGTAAACTATCACAAAGACGTTTAGAAGTGCCTTTCACTTTTTAACTCTTACAATTGGACCGAAAGTAGCTATCATGAAAAGATGCGCATACAATCTCATTTAGATTGAAAATAAATGAGCAAGGGAAAGGTTACGTTCGTAAACAAAGTTGATTGATATGAACGTCAAAGGGCGGGACATGTCAACTGGCCATGGATATAAGGGTAAATGGAGTCTTCATGTTTGGTTTCAAACGTCTGAAGTTCGCTCGTTTAGATGGATTTACTATCAGAGGTAGTTGGTCAAATCTTGTTCAGTTTTACGAGAAGCGTAACAGAGCATTACAATCCAGCGGAACCTGAATTCACTGCAGAATTTTTTGGCTACGATCCTTTAGAAAGCACTGGTCGAGAATGGTATTAAGAACCAGTTGATGAGCTTATTTATCAAGAATACAGTGACAGAGAAGCTACCACATGGGATTATCTACCTTCTAACAGTCTTAATATCCAGGTTCTCGATGCGCGCTCACCAGATGAAGAACCAGAAGAATATCAAGACGAAAACAGGGCAATGGCTTGGAAACGCCTGAGGCCACCCACTCTCTGTACAGTTGGCAAATCAATGTACATTGGAGCTTTGATCTCGCTTCTTGCTGCCACCTTTTTGGGTACAATACACACCGTAATATCTTGCGTGCGTTTTAAGAGTTTAACTTGAAGCTGCTATAATCACTCAGACAACTCCTTATCAACTCAAATGCAATGGCAAATAACCATTTCTGGAATGATTTGCAGTGGCTTTTTATATTTTTGGCCTTTTACTATTTTGATTTTTCTTTTTCGTCCATTTCAATTGTTTGGGGTAAAAAGATTCTTGTGTCTAATTTCTTTTCTTTGCTACTGTTTAGATTCACTTTATCGCGTTGTTCTTCGAGTCTTCACTTTATCTCATGTGAGCATTTCCAGCTTTTTAACAAGGTCTCCACTAAATGCAATATTTATCATCTGCGTTTGCTTGGAACTGTACATGGTGACGAAACATTTTTGCCCCCGTTCAATGAAAGTAAAGAAACTTTGCTTATTCCTTCAAATGATGGTACCCGTCTGTTTTACTTTCCTAATTGAACAGATTCTTCACTATTTTCTTTATCCATATTACGTCGAAAGCAAACAAAGATTTTTATTCGCTCTTTTTGCGCCTATGATTGGAGTCATTTTGAAGACGTTCTCACGCATCTGTGCTCAGCGGTTATATAACATTACTCATCCGGGATATTCTTATGTCACGCTTGTGCCGTTGTTTTACGGAACAGCTATAATGTTTCGAGTTTTGCAGGCAGATCTTGACAATCTACAATTCATCATTATAATAGGAATCGTCCACGGCGCTGCGGAAGTTATAGAACGAAGTACAATGGTTTTAATTGATCACATTTTTTATGTGCAGTGGAGAAGAAAATCAGCTTCTTGGGGGACTTTTCGCACCCCTCGCCGTGAGAGACTCATGGCTGATATTGCTATCATGAGCATGTTGTCTGAATCAACTGCTATAGTGTCAGTTAACGGGTTTATTTTCTTGCATAAGTTTCTTTGCCTGCGAGAAATGTTATTTCTGACGAATGAGCCCGCGAAGAAGGCAGAAATAAATATTTTGACGGCACGAGATACAACAGGGCCTGGGTACTAGGCCGGGTGCACCATGGGTAGCCATACCGGGGGTATATAAGGCTGCGTATATCACGTGTTCGTCATCTAGGCTTACGAACCAACCTCTCCTTGGTTTTTCTTAACGTTCTTATCGGCTCTTTCTTGCGTTATTTCCATCAGCAAAGACGAAGTGTCCGATCTCATTGAGGAGAATAACAAACAGTTAATGGACTCGTTTAAAGTTTTGTTAACAGAAACCGTTGGTCAAATCAAGCGCGCTAATGAATATTTGGCCGAGCAGCAGATGAAGGAAATTAAGAAACTAAAGTATAACGAACCACGTAAGTTCAAGAAGAAGGCCAACGAAAACCAGTTTTAAAGGATCCACAGTGCAGAATTTTGCGGCCGTGTAGCGTACTAGGCCCGTAAGAAGAAGAAGACCACTCAAAAACAGATCCTCGCCGGTGGGAACGCCGGCGTCCACCTCAACTTCACATATGCAACCCCAGTCTCATGTCAAACGTTCCTGTTTTTCGCCTTCTCGACGACCCAGTGTCGGGACCTTTTTTGTCCGTGGAAAGCGTTCCTGTTACCCGACGATGGACAAGCCAAGCATCCCAAACTCCCAAATGGCTAGATGAAGGACAACAATCAGGTGCAGTCTATTCTAATTTAGTACTGAATTTTTTAGGCGGCAAGCCGTAATATGGATCAGGATTGTCTCGATATTATACCAGTTTCTTCTGACGTTCACCCCGCTAGTTTTAGGCGCGGTTTAGAGCTCTGAGTGTACCGTTGATATTTCTATCTGCCTTCAGTTTGGTGAAGATTTTTCACAGTTACCTATTTCAGGCATACTTCGCTAGTTTCTCTGTTCATTTTGAATGTTTTTAGTCTTAGTTACAAATTCCCTTCTTCCAGCTTTTTATGTTTTTTTACAAATCCTACAATGCCTCTGCACGTGTTTACAGTTCTTTTTGTCCGTAGCTGTTAATGAGCTTCCCAGCCTCAACCTCCTTTTAAAATTTTTGCATTCCAATATCATTTACCCGCTTTCTGTTTGACGCGCCGCTCCGGCTAACAAAGGTTAATCCTGGATTTTAGGCACGTTTGCACTTTTTTCTTCAAACAGAAATTCAAGGGCGAAGACTTGTCCATGGCCACTTATATTTTTGATATGAGTTTTTATTTATTCATATTTTACCTCTAGTACGGTTATCGTAATTTTCCCTGATCACCAGTATTTCCTTGCGTTCACCTGGGATCTCGGCACCTGGATTTTTAGGTATTTTCTACTTTTTAATTTGCGCGCTTCCCTTTCGGTTCTTGTCAGCCTCCCTCAAACCGCTTCAGAAATCTAGAAGAAGCCTAGGTATCCCTATTGCCATTTTTCTTGACTATGGTCTAGCTATAGGAGGAGGAGCCTATCGCGTTCAGGCCTTAATTTACAGTTTGCGGGCTGTCCATGCCGATTTGCTTTAGTCTCGCTTTGTTCGAATTCCTATGAGGAAGAGTCCCTGTGGGAGCCCGTTCGAATTTTCTAGTGGCTTCGCGTTCATCTCAACATAACACTCTGGATGGAAGTATTAGAGCCACGGATGAACGCATTGCTTAATTGTCTCGCGACCTGGCGGCTTTGTCTTCATATTAGTCGTCCACCACAGTCCACGTTCTACGCGTCCCGTGTGTAGCCGCCCATAGTATTTCCCTCTCGAGTAGCGTGGGATCCGTCGCGTGCATTATGGCCCGATTTCTTTTCTCAGTTGTTTACTCAGCTGTTTCCTGGGATAGCTAGGTTTTCCTGTCCGTTGATTCTTTGTTTGTAATTGAATTTTGGTCGTACAATGTTAGCCTCTCTACGGCAAAATTTATCGAGGGGTTCCAGTTCGCTTCCAGTTAGAGTAAGCTCCGGCTTCTCCGGTGCTTCCTATTCAGCCTGCGGCGTTTAAGTGGAGTCTGAACCTGAGTTGATTTTTTATCAGAATTGGTCGGAAAGTGTTCGTAGATCGACTTGAAGAGAGCTCAAAGCGGTTTGTCTTGCCTTACTAGCCTTCGCGAGCCCTTCATCTAATTCCAAGGTTTTTTGGTATTCTGACAACCAGAACGTCGAATCCATTCTTCGCGACAGCAGCAGGAAATGCGATCTCTAGGATTTAGCCCTAGCTGTTTTTCAAATTTGCTCCCATCATTGTATTTCGTTCGAGGTCAAGTGGATCCCTAGGGACCTGAACGCTAGTGCAGTCTGTATCTGCAAGCTCGTTGACTTCGATGGTTACGGCCTCAACGATTTTGTTTTGCTAGGGCTTAATCACTTCTTAGGTCCTTACATTATTGACAGGTTCGCCTGTAGTTACAACGGCGAGTTGCCTTGGCTTAACTCTCTATTTTTTCAGACAGGCTGTTAGGCTGTTTATGCCTTCGCTCAAAATTGGGGATAGGACAACAACTGGCTTGGCCCACCTGTTTGCCTCATTGTCAGAGTCATGTATATCAGACACATTGGGCTCTGCCGCGCTCACGGGAGCCCTTATTCCTCACGTATGGAAGTCAGCTATTTTCTGAAATGTTTCTGCTAGAGATGGAGTGCATTGGAATAGTTTTGTTGTGGACTGGGTTTTATTGCTTAAGTTCCAGGGATTATTTGTTCCAGGGAAGGTCCGTAATTCCCTTTTCAGAACCAGGCCTTTATTTTTTGGCGTCATAGCGCTTCGAGTTTATTTTCGGCGCCCCACACCTCCCTCGTCCCTGGCGGGC